CGTCCGTGTGTCCGTCCGTCCGTCCGTGTGTCCGTCCGTCCGTCCGTCCGTCCGTCCGTCCGTCCGTCCGTCCGTCCGTCTATTCGTCTGTCCGCCCGTCCGTCTGTCTGTCCGTCTCTCCGTCTTTCCGTCTGTCCGTCTGTCCGTCCGTCTTTCCGTACGTCCATCCATCTGACAGTCAGTCTGACCGTCAGTCCGTCCGTCTGTCTGTCCGTCCGTCCGTCCGTCTGTCCGTCTGTCCGTATGTCCGTCCGTCCGTCCGTCCGTCTATTCGTCTGTCCGTCTGTCTGTCTGTCCATCTGCCCGGCTGTCCGTCCGTCTGTCCGTCTGTCGGTCTTTCGGTCTGTCCGTCGGTCCGTCAGTCCGTCAGGCCGTCTGTCCGTCCATTCGTCCATCCGTCCGTCCGTACGTCCGTCTGTACGTCTGTCCGTCTGTCTGTACGTCCGTCCGCCCGTCCTTCGTCTTTTTGTTTGTCCGTCCGTCCGTCCGTCCGTCTATTCGTCTGTCCGCCCGTCCGTCTGTCTGTCCGTCTCTCCGTCTTTCTGTCTGCCCGTCTTTCCGTCTGTCCGTCCGTCTTTCCGTACGTCCATCTATCCGTACGTCTGACCGACCGTCTGTCCGTCTGTCTGTCCGTCCGTCTGTCCGTCCGTCCTTTTGTCCGTATGTCCGTCCGTCCGTCCGTCCGTCCGTGTGTCCGTCCGTCCGACCGTCCGTCCGTCCGTCCGTCCGTCCGTCCGTCCGTCCGTCCGTCCGTCCGTCCGTCCGTCCGTCCGTCCGTCTATTCGTCTGTCCGTCCGTCTGTCTGTCCATCTGCCCTTCTGTCCGTCCGTCCGTCCGTCTGTCGGTCTTTCGGTCTGTCCGTCCGTCCGTCCGTCCGTTTTTCAGTATATTCCGTATATTCTTGATCAGGATCAATAGCGAACTCGATTGAGCCATGTCTGTCTGGCAGTCCGTCCGTCCTTCTGTCCTTCTGTCCATCTGTCCGTATGAACGCTGAGATCTCAGGAACCATAAAAGATACAAAGTTGAGATGAATCATGAAGATTCTTGAGGTCCATACGCAGTTTATTTCAGCATCCTGTCATGCCCACTCATACGCCCACCTAGCTCAAAAGCCGGTTTTTGTTTTTAGTAGAAAAGATGATATCTCAGAAACTATAAATGATAGAAAGTTCGGCCCCAAGTTGCCCCAAAAGCGAATTATTTTTTCGCATCTATCCACGCCCACCCTAACGACCACAAAACCCGGAAAACAAAAATTGAAAAAAATCTCGGGACCTATAAGAGCTAGAAAGTTAGGCTTAAGAATACGTATTTAAGAGATGTCACTGCAACTTGTCACGAGTTTTCATCCTCCCACACCCTTTCTAACGTCCACAAACCGCGGAAAACTTTGGCGTCCATAATATTATTATGAATGCCTTCATTTGACCTTGTATAACTTATTTCTGTCAATATCCAAATATCTTTTAAATCGGAACATTATTTCTATATATATATATATAAATATAATATAAATATATATATATATATATATATATAAATATATATAAATATATATATATATATAAATATATATATATATATATATATATATATATATTTCTATTATTATTATTTATGAAGAAATTTAGGTTATAAGACCTTACATGGTCAGGGATGTCACCATTAGTTACTCAACATGCTTTCTCTGACAATAGGTGGAGCTATGTGAATTTCCTCTAGCAAAATGAATATTTTAAAATTGCATATGCATCTTATAGTCGCGGCTCCTGACTATAGCGATTCTTCTTGTTTTTCGCATTGTTTATGTTTTTTTGCGGTATTGCAGTTGACGTTGTAGTCATATCAGGCGAGATCGAAAGAGATCAAGTGGGATCAATCAGATAAATGTAAATTCAACTTGTCAATCTTATTCTTCTTCATTAACCTTAAAAGACCTTGATCTTCACAATTTTTTTCTACCACTCTTTAGAACCTTAATTTCGTCAAGGAGACGCAATAGTTTTAAAATTACTTAAATATATTTAAAATAACTGAAGTATAAATTAAAATAAAATACATTATAAGTATAAGCTAAGAATCCTTAAACCTTCTGGGGGACTCGACGATCAGAACAGAAGCGGCATCAATGGACGAGAAGCTAACTTTTGGAGCACTTTTACCTAAGAGCTTGTTCTTTAATTAGTATTTGAGAAAATGGTAGTCTATTGTGATCTGGATTTCTACAAAACTTTTTATATATTTTAATATTATTCTGCGAATAAAAATTGTCAAAAGGGTTTGCAATCGTCGTTTAATGGCGTTCAAGACGGAGAATAAAGAGAAAGATGGTGGATTAGCTTGACTGAGTAAAATGGGAGTGAGTTTTCGGAGCACTTTTACCTTAGAGTTTGTTCTTTAATTAGTATTTGAGAAAATGTTAATATATTGTAATTTGATTTTCTACAAAACTTTTTCTATATTTTAATATTATTCTGAGAATAAAAATTGTCAAAAGGGTTTGCAATCGTCGTTTTATGGCGTTCAAGACGGAGAATAAAGGGAAAGATAGAGGATTAGCTTGACTGAGTAAAATGGGCCATTAGCAGCTAGGACTAGGATCCAAAATGCAGGGTGCTTATAATGGAATGTTAATTGAGATTGAGATTCTTAAACTTATGCATTTGGGGAAAGGGAGTCTGATTAAGTAATGTTATCGATAAATAAAATGTTAGTTTCTAGTCATTGTTCGTCTGTCCGTCTGTTCGTCTGTCCGTCTGTCCGTCTGACCGTCCGTTCGTCTGTTCCTCTGTCCGTCTGTCCGTTTGTCCGTCCGTCTGCCCGTCTATCCGCCTGTCCGTCCGTCCGTCTGTGCGCCTGTCCGTCTGTGTGTCCATCCGTCCGTCCGTTCGTCTGTCCGCCCGTCTGTCCGTCCGTCTATCCGTCTGTCCGCCCGTCCGTTCGACTGGCCGTCCGTCTGTCCGTCCGTCCGTCCGTTTGCCCGTCCGTCTGCCCGTCTGCCCGTCTATCCGCCTGTCCGTCTGTCTGTCCATCCGCCCGTCCGTTCATCTGTCCGCCCGTCTGTCAGTCCGTCTATTCGTCTGTCCGTCCGTCCGTTCGTCTGTCCGTCCGTCTGTCCGACCGTCCGTCCGTTTGCCCGTCCGTCGGCCCGTCTATCCGCCTGTCCGTCTGTCCGTCTGTCCGTCCGTCTGTCTGTTCGCCTGCCCGTCTGTCTGTCCATCCGTCCGTCCGTTCGTCTGTCCGCCCGTCTGTCCGCCCGTCTGTCTGTCCGTCTGTCCGTCTGTCCGTCTGTCCGTCTGTCCGTCCGCCCGTCTGTCCGTCCGTCTGTCTATCCGTCCGTCTGTTTGTCCGTCTGTCTGTCCGTCTGTCCATCTGTCCGTCCGTCTTAGCGTGTGTTCGTCTGCTTATCCGTCCGTCCGTTCGTCTGTCCTTCTGTCTGTCTGTCCTTCTGTCCAACTGTCCAGCTGTCCGTCCGTCCGTCTGTCCGTCTATCTATCTATCCGTCTATTCATCTATCCGCCGGCCCGTCTGTCCGTCCGTCCGTTAGTCTGTCCGTCTCTCCATCCGTCCGTCCGTCTGTCTGTCCGTCTGTCCGTCTGTCCGTCTGTCCGTCTGTCCGTCTGTCCGTCTGTCCGTCCGTCTGTCCGTCTGTCCGCCTGTTCGTCTGTCCGTCTGTCCGTCCGTCCCTCTGTCTGTCCGTCCGTCCGTCCTTCCCTCTGTCCGTCCGTCTGTTCGTCAATCCGTCCGTCAGACCGTCTGTTTGTCCGTCTGTCCATCTGTCCCTCCGTCCGTCCGTATAAACGCTGAGATCTCAGAAACTATAAGAGATAGAGTTGCATACACAGCGCAAGCACCATCCTGCCACGTCCATTATAACGTCCATAAAATTATTGTGCATGTCTTTGACCTTCTATAAAATATTTTTGTCAATATTCATCGATATACCAAAGATTTCTGAAATGGGAACATTATTTCGCTATTTTAGCAGAAATGTAGGTTATAAGGGCTCACATGGACTGTGACGTCACCATCAGTTACTCCACTGAGTACTTTTCTGACAAAAGGTGGCATTTCACTAATTATTATTATATATTACATAATAACATTTAATATTTAAAACAGTGAGGGTATCTTATGGTCGCGGCACTCAAGTTTTGCGTAAATCCTTCTTCAAACAGAAATCTTATGATAAAAATGTTCATGCCTTATTTCTTATTAATTTCATTATAAATTATAAAATGATTTTCTGATTTATGCCTTATTTCTTATTAATTTCATAAAAGATTTTCTGACTTAAAAAGTTGTTAACAAATTGATAGGCATTCCCAAGAAGGAAGTCTGAAGTCTAACAAAACTTCTAACATAAATATTATGGGTGCCAGGGCGACTGATAACCTTACAGTTTAAATGAACTTGAAGGGGGAGTACTATGAAAATTATTTCTCTTCGATGGCATCCTTTAGAAATCGGCTATTTACTTCTAGGATTTGTTTTTAAGTCCGTATTAAACTGTTTTTTCGTTTACTCTGTAAATTTGGTCAAGTAACCCAAGCCACAAAGACGGCACTGTACCTTTGTCCGTGCTAACTGGTTCCTGCAGGCATCATTAACCTTTCTGCGCGCACACAATTAATGAGCCAAGCCTTTGTCTACTTTGTTTTCCAGCCTCGCCACGCCTGCAATGCAATCAGCCAGCAAACAAGTGCAAACTTTGGGATGGGTAGCGGGGAAAACCCGGAAAGACGGTGCTTGCATAATAGAAATTCATTGCCAAATTGCATAGAAAATCGTTGAGGGCGCTAAGAAGGTGCCGCTGGGCAAGTTGGCCGCATCTCGAAACTTATTCCACTCGACTCTTACCATCGGAGAACAGCGATTTTAATTACCGCAAACGGCGCTCGGCTGTAAGCGCATTACGTATACGCAGCGTGGCAACAGCAGCTGATAAAATCGCATTCAATGCAAGTTAATTAAAAGATGTGTGCCCTGGCCCGAAAAACGCTCTCAACTTGACTTTAATTAAAACATCATTTGAACAAAGAATAGCCCTTCATGGCCGAATGGTCTCCAGGATCCAGTCAATATAGTCGGAGACCCGTGTATAAACCCCAGGCCATCCTTCTAGTCCGCAGCGATTGCCGAAGGAGACCACACCTTCTTGGTACCAGGCCTGGTCGTAGGCCCTCCTCATCAATGGTCCTCCCGAATCTCCATCGCAGCTATCCCGGTAAAACTCACCTCCTACGCAAAGCTGCGAACTGATCAGCTGAATATTACGCATGGCGAACTTTCGCGCGCAGGAGTCGTGGTCGTTCACCGGAAGATCTAAGCGCTGTTTTATCGTACTCTTGCGGGCTGTAAAACAAAGCAGCTGATCAATAAAATATTTTCTAAGGGCTTAAAGTATGTAATTATTCATTCCAATTTAATATTGATTTTGTTCTTAGTTCTAAGAAAAGTTCTGATACGAATTATTTGTAATACAAACAGCTCATATCGGTTTTAGTTGAACTGAATAGGAAAATACCGGAGCTACAATAATAATTTAATATAAAGGAAAAATTAACTAATTTTATATAGTAATTGTAAAGATTATATAATTTAAGTATTAGTTATTTGAAGATCTTATTTAAAAAAATCAATTGGTAAAAAGCTATAATTGACTATTGATTTGTTTTTTAAATCTTTATACACCTATCATACAAATCCTGCATTATTTTTAAAGTTTTTACTACTTTAAACCCCTCAACTATAAAACTCACCTGTGGTGGTACGTCCCCACCCGCTGACTACCAAAAGTTCGCCGATGTTGATAGCCATTCGTGTGCTGACCAAAGGCAAACAAACCGGCTGGATGTACTCATTAAGTGTAACTGGGCGATCTAGTCGCAATAAGGCGATGTCGTGGACGCGGTTCCTGTCGTTGGGATCATATTGAGGATGTACAGTGGCCTGTTCGATGCCCATTTCAATGACGGGCAGGTTGCAGATGCCATCTACGCAATCGATATCCTTGCTGGTGTCATATTCACCCAAACGAACGGTAGTTCTAAAAAAAACGTAAGAAACACTCAAATTTTTAAACGATTTTGCTTGAATTTTTATAAGGGCCTTATCAGGTCCAGGCGAATTTAGGTCAATGCCACTTGAATTCAAAATGTATTACTGTTAAACAAATTAATAAAAACTTGTTCGTTGAATTAAGAAATTAACTGCACTAAAATGTTATTTTATCTTCAAACTGTTTTGAAAAGTCCAGGCCTTAGAACTGTCTTTTGTAACAGTTTGGTATATGAATAATATGTTTCATTGTTCTGAAGTTAAGATAACTTCCTAAATTGTGTATTGTTTCTCTTGACAACAAAGGTTGGTTAAGTTACTTAAGCTACTTACAGGCGTCCGACTGCCTTTTCTACATCACCAATAACACAATGGGCAGCGGTAAGAACATAACGACTGTTGATGAGACTGCCACCACAACTAAGCTCACGACGTCCTCTACCTAACAGGGCGAAAAACATTGACTTATTAAAAAGTTAAACATTATACTTAATCTCTCCACTTACGATCTACATACTCAAGCAGAGCCATCCAGGTAAACTCGTCTATGGCCGTGTCATTGCCATTGTAGACCTTGTTGCTGAAGGAGTGCGGTCCACATTTCGGTGGCGAGGGTAACAGGTTGCCCTGACCTTGCTGACCCTCTTGACCCTGCTGGCCCGGATTGGCAGGCGTCACTGGTGGTGCTGTGGAGGTGGTGTCCTGTGGGCCATAGCTCCGATCATTTGTGCAGCAAACATGAGGCTGGCGGCCCACTCCATTGGTGCACTGCGAGTTGCGAAGGAAGTTCCTGTCCTCCGAGGTAACGAATGTCTGCTGGACCAAGGAAAGCAGACTCTGACAGTCGTATATGGACAAACATTGGCCCTGATTCTGGTTGGGATTTCTACAGCCTAAACAATGAAAATTGAGGAAGATTGATTATTAAATAAAAATGTGACAGGAAAAAAGCTGGGAAAATGCCAAATTCACAAGGCATAACATTGATAACTTAATTGATTCACATTTTTCATTTCCCTTTTATTTTGTTGTTTCTTGGACAGGTTCTGGACACAAATAAAAACAGTTCATACTAATCAGTTACCAAATTTTATAGATTTATATCTTAAAAAAAAGCCTTAGTCATTTATATGTCAAATACTTTGACTTAGGCTTAGAAACAGTCAATGATGACCAATGTTTAAATGGATTTTCCAATAGATTTCACAATTTTACATATATATTGAAATATATGTTATAATTTTAATGAAATAGTTCTGAATAAAATAGTTGTAACTCCTTTTGAAATTTGAATACTGTCCATGTAATGAACATTGTATTTTTTAAACATAAATGTGATAACATTTTTGTAAATTTGTTTAAAGATATGATTTCACTTTTAAATAAAGAAGTTTAAAAACAAATTGCCAAAAGATCAAATGTTGCTAATTGATAATAAACAAAAACAATTAACTTTGTCGTCATCCGTAAAATCCAATGATAATGTAATCAGCTGTGCGGCGATTCAGTTATAGCATTCAAAATCACACGAGTGCGCTTAATTAAGTCATTGACATGGGAAAATGGTTAAGTTCAAGTCCAATAATCTCATTGAATCTCAGTTAAGCCATTGCGCTTAACGTGGTTAAGTACCGGTCGCAATTAATGAGTCAGCTCTGAGTGAATCACATATAACTTGATACTAACTTCCTTGGGCCTGAACACTTTGTAGAAAGATGAACGGCAGCAGGCAAGTGGACAAAAAAATCCCAACTACTTGTCGCGTTGACTTCATCTTCTGGGATATTTCCCACCGATCGTAATAACGAATTGCACAGCTATAATAAATTATTAAAAACGCGTCTATGTGATTACGCACGTCGACCTCGAATCGAAGAACCGGGAAGAGAACTTAAACTACAATCGCCTTCGAGACGCCAAGACAACTGATCGCTATTTGCCCGACGAGAGACCTTTAAATGCGATTGGAGATGATAATCGATGAGAGGCTAAAGTGAGGTACTGCTACTGAGAGGACGTGGGTAAAGCTTTTAAGCCGATCGAGAGACGTAAGCTGAGCTTATCTTACTAAGAAAGAGTTCGTATTAAAAGCTTTCGAGAGTATGATTCTCAAAATGCCCATTTTAAGAGAACTAATTTCCAACGTGTTAAAATGTACAATGAACCAAAACGATATTTAAAATATAATTATTACTATGAAGATTAGTTCGATCGATTTTTAAATTTTTAATATTACTTTGGGCTTTAAGAAATAAGTAATTAACATAGCCAGCCTGGGTGCCCTTAAATAAAATTTGTCGCCATTATTTTATCATAGCGGTTCTGTTCAGCCGGTGTAAGTTTGCAAAAGTCCTTTTCAAAGATCTTGAGTTCCTTTCTTGTATGCAGCGGAGGCCAAAGTGTGGTATAAGCCATAGTTCTGTAAAAATTTAAAATTGCAATTAGTATTATATTACTAGATATGTACTTTGAACTGTAAATATTAATATTTTCATATACAAAAGTAAAATAAATTTATTTGAGATCGTTCTACTTTATGGAATTTGTGGCTAACCTCACGAATTGCCAAGCATCCTCGGCTGTCGACTGATTGTCGATCAGGAGTTGGATCTCTCGCTTGAACTGATGAGCATAAGCCCGCTTGGAATCGGAATACCGCTCCAGACATCGTATTTGCCTAAAAACCCAAATTAGTAATATTTATCACCCAAATCACTTGACGAACCCTGCAATCTTACAGCGGTATGCGGTGCTTGGCAAATGTGGGCTCTCGCACTGGGTCCCTGTCGTCGTCGAATACAGTTTGATAAGTGGGCACATAATCTTCTGTTGCAACTTCCCGATAATCTGGGTGAATATATTCAGCATCTTTCTTATGGCGCTTATGCATTGTGGAAAACGAGTTTCGCGGCTCATCGCTGGTCCGGAAAATGCTGCCCATTACAGAGGCATAGAATGACTTCATTCCCAAGGTCATCCTCTTGTCTCCCATTTGTTTTCTCTTTTCCTGAATCAGGGTTTTCCGCTCCGCTGCTTGGTCCATTTTGGAGTCTGTTACTCAAAAGATTTCTATCTGGGTGGATTATATTTTTTGTATTTTTATATAATTTTGCTAATATGGTGTACAGTTTTTGTGAATTTGAAGACTGTTTGAGTATGTTTTTGGCCAGGCTAAGCTGATGGCAAGTTCGTCTGCTTACTAAAGCTACGCTACAATTTTTAAAATTCAGGTAAACTTGAATTGTGACATTTCGAGTCTAAGCAATGTTGACTGCTCCACATTTCTTGTTCGAAAAGTGTTGCTTAAGCTATATCTGAAGGTTTTTCAGAAGACGTTATGGGAACGTAATTTGCAATTACATTTTGGCATGAAAAAAAAAGGAATTTTAATAATAAGGTACTTAGTAAAATAAAAAAGTTTGAAGTTTGAATTTAGGTCCATATATTTTAATAAACAGTCATATTATCCTTTGAATTGAATTGATAAAGTAGTTCTTAAGCTCTGAACGCTGGCCTCCGTTTTTTCAAATTTGTTGGAGCTATCAGAGAGCTTTCCATGAAATTTGTATGCTCATCCGAAGCGACTTTGAATCCTTGCAGATTAACATTTGCATTTCATGCGATGCAGCTTGCCATAAGTAGTGATGTACCAAACAGGAAAGCAGACGACGAGCTAGAGCTCTAAAGTAGAACACAAATCGAGTACAACTTTTGCAAAAGTTGTTTTCCTTTGCCTGTCGGCATCGAAGCGTGGTCCTCCCATCTCATACCGTCTAATGCCGCTGCATCCTATTCCTGGAATCCCTACTTGCACCTCGCCTCACATCCTGTTTAGCTTCAATGAATGCTTCAACGCTCCGTGTAACCTCCTCCTTTAGCCCCCATCAGCCCCTTTAACCCATCATAGCCCCCAGAAAGCCGTTCCACTTGGCCCATTCACGATGTCTATCTGCTGTTGGGCGCTTTGTTTTTGTGCCGGCCTATTCATAATTCCACAGCCGGCTGCTGGCTGCTGGCACAAATTGAAAAGCAAACACGTGGCTCTGTAGTTGGCCTTATCACTGGCTACATTGGGATTTCGTTGCTCTGAGCCACTGACACTTCGTCATGTCCAACCGTCTATCAGTCCATCCGTCCGCCGTCCAATGGTCCGTCCGGGTTCAGTTTCAGTAGTAGGGACCAGTACCAGCCGGAGTCGAACTGAGGCCCTCGGAATTTGAGTTTTTGTGTTGAGCTGCTGTGACACTTTTTGTCGTCCCATCCGTGTAGTGTGCCATTTTGTTTGTGGGCTTAGGTCAGCACTTTGCCATTTTCATAGCTGCATGCACCAGGGTCCTCATTGTCATCATGCTCGCCTCATCACCGCCTCGTCCTGCAGTCCCTGGGCATTGTTTAATAATTTTCCTGCTTAGGGCAGGATATTCCAGCCGCACAGAACATGTCGGAACAGTTTTTTGCTTGCGTTGAAACTTTAACTTTGGCTTAACTCTTAATGAGGGCATTATGACCCTGGAGCCCTTAAGCCGACGACGGGGTATCATTGCTAATTTTCTTGGCCAGCGGCGAAAGTTTAAGCAAACTTTAAGGTATTTACGTCTCCCTTTTATCAGCTGCTCCCGCTTTTTCCGACTTTTCCGTGCAACTGCAGATGGACGATGGACGATGTTTCAGGCATCAAAGGCAGACGCCACTTGAGTTGATTTCCGTTCGGAGCCATTGAGATTGAGTTGAGTCCTGGTCAAGGACCCGAGTCACTTGTGTGTCGATTTCACTGGGTCTGTATTTTTACCCTCGAGTGTCTTGTATATTAATTGAAATTAAAAACACTTTCGAGTGTCCATCAAGTGTCTGCCATTAAAGTTATTACGAATTTATGGCCTCAGCAGGCAAGTTTCAGATGCCTGAGTACGGACTGTCAGCTGGCATATTTATTCAAATTTAAAGCTTTCATATATCAATTATGAAAACTATAACCAAATTTTTGCTTAAGCAAATTTAAAATCTATTCAGCCTTTGCATAAACATCATTCAAGCATTTTCTCATATAAAGAAGGGTTAGTGAAATTATTTAAACTTGAAGACAGGTATTATTTAATGGTTGTAAATATTCAAAACATCAGAATTCATCCGAGTTAAATATGATTATTCCAAAAACTTTTGGAAGTTAATGGAAAACAACAAAATTACTAAACTTGTTCAGCTGTCAAAGCATTAATCCCATTACCTTGATTAAAAAAATGCCTGAGCTTGAATATTTATTAGTTAATATTCGTGGCCAAAGCAATGTTTAAATTAAAAAAGAAAAAAATATGAGAATGCAACTGAATTTATGCCTCAATTTGTGTGGTCTCCACCCGCTGTCAAGCATAAATTCAGCAGCAAACAAGGAAAAAATTTAAATTAGCTGGCAGTGGGTGAAATGGGAAACTCGCGTGGAAAACGAGCGAGGAAACACACAAGAGTGCCAGCTAAAACGCAAATGAAGTTGGCTTTTAATTTCCAATAAGCCCTCTTCCCCGGTAGTCCCCCCGCAATATTAATGAACTGTAAAGAGTTGAAGTGGAAACAATAACAAAATGCAAAAGGTGTACTTTGTGTCTGTGTTTGCATTGCTTACGTATAGTTAGTATAGTGTAGTATGCTCCTGAATGTCGGACACATGTTCAATTAGGAAAATGCTCGTTGTGTGTGGCATTTTTACGGTTTGGTCAGTGCAGCATTTTCTCATTTTCCCGTTTTCTCACTTCCCCTTTACCATGTTGCACCTTTCGGGTTTTTGGACGGGAATGTAATTCAAAAATCGCTCCCTGCATGCATACGGCTGCTAATTTAATTAGCGATGGAAGGCGCATCGAGTTCCACGAATTTTCCAACGCCTGGCTGCCTCGCAAGGAAGGTTTTCCACGTGCTCAGAGCGGTCATTAAATTAAATTTTAATTAGCTGTGCATTCTCTTGTAGCTTGATGCGTGTGAATGCACTGGGAAAAGTGTAATAAAGCTGGAAGATTAATATATGTTTCAATCACATTTTTATGTTATTTTGAGTTAAATCCTGTTACTTTTTATAAACTAAAAAGGAAGAAACATGTTATAGAATTATTTATGAGTGAATTTTGCTTCCATTAATATTGTAAAGTAATATTGCCTTTAATGAAGAAGACCGCCAATAAGTTTCTGACTTTTCAAAGTAAATTACAATAGACTCAATCAATCATGATGATGTTATTTGATATTTTTTTCTCTTTAGTCATCCTTTTTTATAGTGTGCCTACCTAACGTGTTTCACATAATAATCAGCGGAGCGTGAGAAAGGAAACTGTTGCCATTATTATGCGGCTAGAAGTTTGCGGTAATATTGGGCTTTGTTGTTTTCGGCCAAATTGTGTAGATGTTTACCCCTGGCCGAGAGGCAATCAAACTTTCTCTGGAACTTTGAGGACTTGTGGACCGAGTTAAGAAGCGCGTGGAATGCAATTTGATTAGCATTTCGCACAACGAAACAATTTGCAGCTGGCGCGTATGTGGGTGTCTGCCGAGTAATGAAAAGGGCAACTAAAAACCCATTAACCCACATTCTTCCCCGCTTAAATGCTCAGACGTGCCCCACTCAGCTGACGTTCACGTTGTCCACCCCCTGCCCTTCCAGACTTGGTGAATGTGTGTGTGTGTGTGGGTAAGCCATTCATAACAAACAATCAACAACAAGTGCAACAACAATGGCCAGCGGACTCGAAACGCATTTCCGCCTCACACTGCACCCACTGCACATTTGCCAGTGCAAATCCCTAAATAGCAAGCGGCGACTAGGAAACAAGTCAACACTGCCTACCAACAATGTCAAATGTTGCATGTGCCGCCAGAACACAAACACAAACAAACAGGCCTTCACTTAAAAAAAACATTTCAATTTAAACTTGCTAAATAAACAATACAACACTCGTATTCCTATCAAAACACAGTCGTTGTTTCACGGAGTTGTACAGAGTACGGAAAATATTTCGGCTTTTAAGCGAAAATAAAAATAAAACATATATTTTTAAATGTATGATTGTATCCCACTTCATAATTCTGTTCAAAAGGAGCTTTAATAATGAATAACATAAAAAAAAATAATTTGATTTTAACTATATAACATTCTGTATTTCTCTTAATTTTGTTAGCAATTTTAGCACTAGTAAGTATTTCGTAATATATTTTTGGTTTGTTATACTTTATCAAGCCTTCATTTTAAATATTAGTAATTTATCGTTTCAACTGCTTATCCTGTCCACCATGAAATTTGAAATGTTATGTAGAACAGCATTATGTAATCAGAAAGAAATTTTCAATCATTTTAAAAATCCCAACAGCAATATATAATAACTGTTATACTGTACTAAACTCAAGTTTACTTTTATATATTAACTTTTTATTACCAACTGATCTAAACCTACAAAAGTAAAGGTAAAGCTAAGTTGATATTTTAAAAAATTTACGATAAAAGTGAAATTGTGTTTAAATTTTTCATGAGCAAACGGGCTATTGCCAAAACTAGAATTTTGAACTTCAAATGCCTTTGTGTTTACAAACTGAAAGTCAGCTCGTTTTATTAAGGATTGTTATTCCCTGGCGTCACAAGTGGCTCTCTCTGAAAGCTCACGGCGTGTGAGCAGTGCGGGTTGATTGAGGCTATCTCGTTTTCGCGGCGCAAGCAATATATCCCCATTGCACTCGCACATCTAAGAGAGTCTGAAAGGTCCAAAACCTAAGAGAAATAAAGCTTAGAGAGACCCGAAGTGCCTTCGGGAATGAGAGAATCCTTTCGTGAGAGAGAGAGTCCTTCCGTGAGAGAGAGAGACCTTTCGTGAGAGTTCGGAAATGAGCTCGGAAAATCGGTCGGTTTGCGCCGTCGATGCTGAAAGGGAGGCTACACTTTCCACAGTGGAAACTTCAGAAACTTTGGATGAGTTCGAAGCAATGACTCTGAACTCTGGCTCAGAATGTATTGACATAGTTTCGCTGCTGGCTAGAAAGTCATTCAGGTGCAAGTGGCGAACTTTCTCCGGCAGTTTGCTAGAGCCAGGTCTTGTATTTATTTTTATCGCTGTTCATTAGTTGGCAGTTGCCATAATTTCAATTTTATAGTTTCGCCAGCGTATTAATTTACGACGCTGGCTGGCCACCCTCTTAATGCAGTTTTTGGGACGGGAAATTTTAGATTGGTTTTCGGTGGTGATTGTCCGACCCACGGAAAAGTTATTGTTTCGATCATGAAAGGCAGCGCTGTTGACGCTTAGCTACCAATTTATCATAATAATAACGCACACGCACAGTCAGCCAACGGAAATATATCAAACGAAATTTATTTGACCCCATTCTATGAAAACATAATTTAGCAAAATCAAATTAGATGTAAGCCGCTTTTCCTGCGAAATACTTCAGCATGCCGTTGAAATATTCATGCCATAACTGAGAGGGCCCAATTGAGCCCTGCCAATATTTTGGCCATTAACGCAAATTGAATAGTCAGCCGGCGCTCAGTTTACCCCGTTTGATAACCGAGTTTGGATGGAAAAACTCATTTGTTTGCATTTGATTTTCGTTGTTTTTTTTTTCCATCCTCTGGCTTGCCAATTTAACTCTTCTATGCGCTACGTGTGGGAAATGTAATATTTTCGCCGTTTTTCCAGGTGGAGGAGTATCCAAAAAGTTGCCAACACGCAAATGCTGGAAGCCATAAATTTACCGCTTTTCTGCTAAAAAGTGGCCAACAGTTTTGTTTGCCACGTGCAGAATCGTTCCTGGCCGCCCGACTCTTGCATATGCAAAAAACTGAGTAATGGCACTAGGGGAAAGTCGTCTGATCCTTCCGACAGAGCCAGCAATTGCAGCATATTTAGCCGCTTGTTTTTCGAAAACTCTATTTAATTCGGATCCTTGTTTCGGCTGGCTCACGTCTCGGTGCACTTTGCCTCCCATTTTTTAAGTTGGCTGCGTGCGGCGCGATTTTCCTTTCTTTTCCTTTACATTTTCCTCGTATTTTTCCTTTGCTGCTGTCAAGAGTCCACACAAGTTGGCCATTGCCCAGCCGATTTTGCAGCATTTAATTTAAGTTACAACACAAGCTGCCGAGATTTATTACTTACCCTTAACAAGTCCTGCTGCCTCTTTTTGTGTCCCTTGCTTTTCGAGCCCCACTTGCCCCTTTTGCCATTTTTTTAATGGCGGAGAATGGACAGAGAATGTAAGAGTTGTAATTTTTTGCTTCCTGTCCTTTCGAGTGTTATATTTTTTATTGAAAATTACACGGGAAAGAAGTTTTGGTGAGTGGTTTCAGCCAGGAGCAAAAAGCGTTTTGTTTGAGATCAAGTGGTACACTTTTTTGAATATCCAAGTTTTTTACTTAGTAGTGATAAAAGAATTTCATTTTATGCATTTTATACATTTTTGAAATGATTTGCTGCCATTAACTTTGTAAAGTATTATACATACTTAGTTAGTACGACTCAATAAATACTTTTTAAATTAAAAAGTTGGCATTCCTGTGTAATTATGTTTGTTTATTTGTGTACAAAGATGTAAAAGTTTATTTGTGGCAAAATATTTTACGTACAAAGGCCCTTATGTTGGCCTTTAAAATTATTTGAGGACATACAATTCAGTGATTGGCTTTTGCGACTTAATTAAGATAAACCAATTTGATTGATTTATTTGTTATTTTCTCTTTACTATATGGCCTTAAATAAACCAAAAATTCATGTTATTAAGCTAGTTGAATTTGCTTCTTTATTAAATACCATACATTTTTCTATCACATTGTTAAAGCAAAAATTTCTTTATTGACATAAGCTCAATTTAATTAACGTCCAGCAAATAAAGTTGGCATACTTCTTCCCTTTCGTTACTTTGCTTCAGAAATCACAGACATTTCCATTTATCTTTATGCAGCTTGGTTTCATGAATAAATGGATGTCATCAAACTGAAAACTGAAACTTTGTCGAACTTCGGCCTTGGATGTCCCATCGATGACCCGCCCCTTTTTGGGCAATTCATTTCTGGCAGTGCAATGTGTGTGTAACTGGGTGATTTTGACCCGGGCAGAAGCCCATAACCAATCTCAGTACAATAAATTAAACCTAAACAATTCATTCGGCTGAGCGAGGTTCGGTTTCTGTTTCAGCTGCTAGAACATCCTGGACTGGAGGATGTGGGATGTCCAAGGGAGAATCTCGGGAGGGAATCTCGGGGGCAATAAGGCAGAAAGCCACTTCTTAGTTTGCTTGCAGCTCAAGCGGAAACCATATAAATGCGGAAATGATAAAAATGCCTGCGAACATGTTTCCAAAGCGTATGCGATAAATTGCAATGGCAAGAAGGTCCTGGGAAGGTCCTTGCTATGCCCCAGCCGCTCCCACATGGACACTGCAGCCAGACAATAAAATAATAATAAAAATAGAACAAAACCGGCGAGCAGACGACATCGACAATGATGAGGTTCCATTCCGTTCAGATCGGTTTGGGACCGGGACTGGGACCAGGACCCGGTTTGCCAATGCCACTGCTCAATAAATGAATGTGGGGTCCTGGTTCCCATGAAACGACAAAGCAAACAAAAACACACGCGGAGAAAAGTTGGTAGGAAAGCTGGAAGGAACGCGACGACTGTCAATTTAATGAAATTGTTTTACACTCAATTGAGTTGCCAACTGGAAAAGAAAACAAAACGCATACCAAGGAGCACCAGAACTAGACAAACAAACAGTTTTCGCCCGAGAAAGATTTCGGGTAATTTGCATTGCCTCCAAGCACCAACGACCCACATTCGCCTTTAAGTTAATCTTTTCTAATACAAAATGGCCCAAACGCTGTCAGCTTTCTGGCAAAGTGGCTCACAACGGAGATGCTCTGGCTGAAAAGATAAGGATGTGCGCAAAAGTGATTCAATATTTACCAGAGTTTGAGAAAATCAGCTCACATGGGATTTCCTTGCATATTGAGGACAGGTCTTTAGTTATTGGTGATTTTGAAGTGGGACCAGAATTTTAAGTAATATCGATCGCTATATCGCTTTGACTAAGTCATTTGGTTTAAACGGAAAATAGTGTCAGAAAAGTTTAAAGTTAATAAAATTCTGCCTGGCATGGTGGTGTTTTTGTATGTTTTAACAAAGTGTTAAAGTTTTATCTTGCTTACTGGGTTAGTTTTTTATGTAATATGGAGAACATTTTCCCAGTTTCAATTTGGTTTATAATGAAACTATCGACTTACATCCGCAATTTAGTAAACAAACTGAATCTTGGTAAGCTGGTTTTAATTATTGCTAGGTCAGTGCGGTTAACAATACCGGTTTCTTTTCGTTTTTATGAATACATTATCGCTTATAAATAAGTTTTCCCCTAATATTGCATCCAATAAGTCGAAATAGTTTGAAAATTATTTTTAAGTGCACAATTTTCCGTTCTGATAAAATTTATACAAAAACATTAACAATATTGGCATTGAGTATAAATTCATTATTATGCTATTTAAATGCCAACGAGTGTGTCTACTTATATGTTTTTCTCTATTTTTATACAAAAGAGAGTACAACAGAGAGAAAAACCACTGAGGCATACAAAAAAATAGTGAGATTGAGAATAGGGAGATAAGAAGAGAGCGCGATCATTGACAGAATCATTCCATATTGTGAGCTGGATGCAGAAGGTTGTTCTATTAATTAATTCTGAACTACATAATTGACGAGATTTCTTGCTGCTTAAATATTGAGGAAAATGTCGGCATTTGAACTGAAAAACTTGAATGAATGCTTGGAAAAGCATCTACCTGCTGATGAACTTAAAGAGGTCAAGCGAATTCTGTACGGTGTGGAAGAAGAGTGAGTACAGCTGAGAAGCAATTATGATAAGAAGGCGTTACAAAGTAGGAGCATCAGGTGGGGTGGCCATAAACGATTTTTAGATAATTCTAAAAATATTTTAATCTTAATCTTACGGCTAACGCCAGGGCAATTCCAGCTCTTAACAATGTCCCTAAATTTTCGGTATATTTATTTAAAGATGTTTACTAAAATCCATTTAAATATAGAACTAATACAAAGTATTTCGACGAGCTTTTATTTTCCGACTTACATATTCATTTGGGTAAACATCTGGCGATGAAAGTGAAACGTAGAAACAAAATGAAACTTGCAATTACAGAGTATACTGCTCTTTTATTAATATTTTTAAAGAGGCTTGACCAGATAATTTGTCTTAATTATACGATTTCTTAAATATTGTTCCTTATTTCTTTTAAGTTCAAAAGGTTTCGTTATTTGAGTGATAAGCTCTCCAGTTTGACGACATCGCCATATGGTGATGATAATCACAAACATTCTATAAGGTCAACCAGGGCCTACCTCTGTGTTTAAGACATCTGGCCAAATAATCTCCTGTTTCTAAAATATATATTTAATGTACCCTCTTTTTCAGTCAATCACTGGAGCTGCCGGCCAGTGCAACAGATATCGCTCAGGAGAATGAATTTGAAATCAAAGGCTATCGCTTCACGGCTCGGGAAGAGCAGACTCGCAAGCGGCGGATAGTTAGAGTTGGTGCCATCCAGAACTCAATCGTACTCCCGACTACAAATCCCATTGAAAAGCAAAGGGAAGCCATTTGGAACAAGGTTAAGGCCATGATCAAGGCTGCCGCTGAAGCTGGATGCAACATTATTTGCACACAAGAAGCGTGGAGTAAATATAGAGAACTTATTTTTAAGCAAGAAAGTTTACCAAATTTAAATTTTCTGCAGCCATGCCATTTGCCTTCTGCACGCGAGAGAAGTTCCCCTGGTGCGAGTTCGCCGAGGAAGCCGAGAACGGTCCTACCACCAAGATGCTAGCTGAGCTGGCCAAGGCCTACAACATGGTTATTATTCACTCGATCCTGGAGCGCGACATTGAGCACGGCGAGACCATTTGGAACACGGCTGTGGTCATCTCGAACACTGGTCGTTACTTGGGCAAGCATCGCAAGAACCACATTCCCCGGGTGGGAGACTTCAATGAATCTACGTACTACATGGAGGGCAACACCGGACATCCGGTCTTTGAGACGGAATTCGGCAAGCTGGCCATAAACATCTGCTATGGTCGCCATCATCCTCAGAACTGGATGATGTTCGGTCTTAATGGAGCGGAGATTGTCTTCAATCCCTCAGCTACGATCGGCCGTCTATCGGAGCCCCTGTGGAGCATTGAAGCTAGGAATGCTGCCATCGCCAATAGCTACTTTACAGTCCCAATAAACCGCGTTGGAACGGAGCAGTTCCCCAACGAGTACACATCTGGGGATGGTAACAAGGCCCACAAAGAGTTTGGACCGTTCTATGGATCTTCTTACGTCGCTGCTCCAGATGGTTCGAGAACCCCGGTAAGTCAAGGATCAACTTGCTCTTGAAATAAGAAAAGATTTTATAATAATAATGTGATTTTTTCGTTCAGAGCTTGTCCCGGGACAAGGATGGCCTCTTGGTTGTTGAGCTCGATCTGAACTTGTGCCGCCAAGTAAAGGACTTCTGGGGTTTCCGGATGACCCAAAGGATTCCTCTTTATGCTGAGTCTTTCAAGAAAGCTTCGGAGCAGGACTTCAAGCCGCAGATCATCAAGGAGACATAATCAGGAAAGGACTAAAGAATTTTGTTGAAAAAATTGCATTTAAACTTGAACTATTAATAAAGATAAGATCTTTGTTGACATTTATAGTCATCGCATATGATAAAATACCTTCACTTTTCAAAAGTAATTTGAATGTACTATTTAATGGGACTTTGAATAAATTTTTTACTCATTTATTTTAACGCAACTCAATGTCGTGCCAAATTTATATTTATTTTATTTAATCGTCAGCGGTTGTCACCTTATTGAGTCGTTTGTTTTACGAATTAAATCACTTTAGTTTAACATTTTTTGTAATAATATACATTATTTTGATTGACGTTAAATTAGCAATTTAAATTTTGAGGAGCAAAAAATCATTTCGATTTCGCTTTCTGGATCCCATTATTTTCGGCTTAAATTTAAAGAACCCAGCTATATGCACATTTAATCTGGCAGAACTTCAAGTCAAATCCCCTTGTTAAGAGTCACATCCTTGAGTCCGGAGAGCATCTCTATTATACCTCATTCCCCAAGCAGCGCTTTAAAAATTTCCCTCCATACAAAATGCTGCAATCTAGCATTGAGCTAAGCTTTGACTTTTACGATTATGTTACGGATGAATGGGAACCGAGGATGGAGACCAAAGGAGGGAGAATTCGGGTATGGAGATGTGGAATAAGGGGCTCCGACTGTGGGTCCCCGGTGGATATGGGATGGGATATAATCTGTTTCTATTACGTTTGCTTATCTGCATGCGACTCACATGTGCGTTTCTTTGCCGAGTCCTAATGCAGTAATAATCGTTTGTGCGTTGCCAAAATGACTCGACTGACCTTGTGGAGCGTCGGCAGTAATTGGCCAGATTATTCTGAATTGGTTTTCCTGCTCTCGACCTGACCTTGTGCGGCAATGGAGTTATAAAGCGAAAATTGCTTGTCGAGCAAGGCAACACAAATGGAAATTATAAACTTTTGTGCACCAGGCTAGAGCCGGAGATGGAAATATGCAAATTGAATTTCGGGCGACATCCAAGTCAAAAAGATACAAAGAGACAAATGTGCGAGTTTCGAATATTTATCTATAGCAGAGGTCATAAAAGTATCACCGAGATAGAAGACTGCTAACTTTTCAGTGATTTATTCGTCTTTCATCATTGTATATCAAGTCAAGAAGAGATTTCTATATGGATACCATCGACATATCATAACTTCACTCAATTGAAAATATTCTGGGAGTATATTCAGAATTTTTATTTAACATCAGAATAAAATGTTTAAAAATTATACTTTAATTATTAATTATAATTTATAATAATAAATTACCATAAGTTTAAGAAAGGCCACAAAAACAGATGTGTTACACAAATTTAAGGTAAGGAAGTTCTACCATTTCATCCCACGCTGTACGAGGAGTGTGGGCAGGAATGTCGGATTTCGTATGTGTCTATTTGACAAAGGTCACCCGAAAATAAATCAAATATTTACCCAGCAACATTCGTTTATTCAAATTGAAAAGTCACTTTCGCACACACGCACGCACAGTCTTGGCGAAAACTGATTCAAGGCCTCGATTGCATTACCCATTCGACATGTTGCTAATAAATATGTTTTCCGGGGAAAGCCAAATAAAACCCAAAGTGACAGAGACCTTTCCAAAGGAGCCCCTTACTGGGCCATCGGGGAATAGCCAATAAAATGTGGGAGCTGCTCGTTTATGGCCGTAGGTTATCTTCGACCAGACGAATATATTATATTCAGTGCCCGAGTTGATTGATTAAGCCCAAGATAAATGCCCAACCATCGGCATTCTCAAGGACCTTCTAGATAATCCTCTACATATCGGATAATAATTTTCAAACCAGCCTGCGGCAATTACACTAATCACACATAACTCTACCCATCCGCTTAGGGGGCCAGATGGCAATTGTGACAGCTCAGATATCAGAGCGATTTCAATTAAAAGCCAACCTTTTAATTAACCAGATAAAGTGGCTATAAACTGAAAGTGAGGCCAGCTGGTCAGCAGGCTAAATGGGCGAACTCGATTATGAGCTCATATTTAATTAAACTTAATATTTAGAGCTAAGCAGCTCCGAGCGAAGACGCTTAAGTGCTCGTTAAGTGTGTTCGTTATATGTATGTGCCCTGCAGGATTAGAGGACCCTAGACTGGGACCGCAATCAGGATACCGGCAGGATGTGTGTCTGTATGCATTTTGCGGCTGGATGGCTGAAAAAATGCCGAGGACGTGCATCAATCTGAATGCATAATAATGGTGCCACTGTGGCAATCAGTTACTCCCAAGGCGGCATTAACCACCAGCCAAATGCATATTGAACAGGATGTCGACTCCGAGTAGAGAAGATGTATATTCCCCTTAAAGTTCAGGGGTGCAGGCAGATCGAATATGTTGATTTGTTCGGTTCAGTGGTTCAGTGGTTCAGCGATTCAGTGGAATAATTGAACCATCGCGGTGAACGTGATTGGTTTATCAATACCCACTTAGGATTAAATATTTTAGTTTTTTATTGGTTATTGAAATGGAATTTCTCAGTGAAGGAACAAAATTTGTTATCAATATTAACTTCCAGTTTGAATTTATTCTACTGGAGTAATATTCTGTATTTAATACCCAGGTAAAACTTTGTATATCCTGGGAAACTAACAGAGTTTTCGAGACTTAATAGGTGCTGATATAGTTTTTAAGAGCAGTTCAGCTCAGAACTAGTTTGCATCCCTGTTTAAATCACCAGCAGCCGCCGCACACGATATGAATGGGAAATCTTGAGCCGCGTACGTGTGCACAACAGTGGCGAGAAATGAAAAGGAAAAGGAGCAGAAAAGGAGCTGAAAAGGAGCAGAATCACCAGGAGCAGTAAAAGAAGCAGCAGCGGCAGGCACAGGCGAGGAAAATTGGAAAGGAAATGCGATGCCGAGCGGCATTGTTGGTGCTCGGATGGAAATGGCATGGAAATGGGAGATGGGCATGGGGATGCGACTGGTGACGGCGATGGCAATGTCGTAAGCAAACTGAAGGTAGTGGCGCCTCCGACTGTGCCGCTCATACTCGGGGCCTTCCCATTAAACGGGATTATTTATTTTATTTCGTTATGCGCGGCAAACAGCTTGTGTAAAGGATTTAAGCGTCTGCTGAATGTGGCAACCAGCACACAAGCCGGATCCTTATTCCCAATCCCGATTCCAGTCAGCTTCCCAATCCCAAACTCCCTTGTAATGAAATACACGAAAACTTAAAACCAACAAACCAGCGAGGAAAACAACAAAGGCGTTCGTTATATTAAATTCCAGCCGCACTTGCACTTGTTAGAGCCTGTAAGATTATAATTCTGCCACAAGGATTCTCCCAGATAACTGGCAATGGAAGTGGGGTGTTGGTGCTTCAAGGGGGTGGCGGAGAGTGTCCTGTTGTGCCAGGACAATGCAGATAGGCGTTGGGGATAATAAAATATTATGCAACTGGGACTGAAGACGAGGGCAGGGCTTGAGGGCAGGAAAAAGGCGCCAAAGCGGAAATGGAAAACTTGAATGCAAAAGTGGGAAATGGTTACGTATGAATGGGCCCCTCCTTTAGGGAACCTGAGAGAGTGTGTGAGCCGAGGCATAAAAGTCAATTCCCTCAGGGGAGTTCAAAGTCTGACCTAATAATTGTAACTTGATTATTGGAAAAACCGATGTGGGGGACGGCGAAACTGAAGTAATTGTGTTGGCCAGCCTTAAAAATGGCTTGGGGAGATTTTCATAAATTTATGGGCCATATTTTATCTCAAAAATGAAGGAAAACTGGGAAAATTTTAATTATAACTTGAGTTTGGGAAAGTCTCGTTAGGGGTGATGAAAAATATTCGATGTGGCGCTTCGATATTGTTTCTGAAATTTAAGCAATAAGCATTAAAGTTATTAAAACTAATAATGAGCTAAGTCTTTGCAATTTACGAAGCAATGAGAATTTGTTAATAAGTCTTTTCGAAATACAGATTAATAAGTAATAATATTCTTTTAAGGTTAAACCATCTTAAACCTCTTTTGCTGTTCGAAGGCAATAATTGTAGTATAAGCTGGAAATGGAATTTCGATCAATATTGTTTCCTCAGACAAAAAAGAAGCTGCGTACAGGGGAAAAATATTAATTAAAATGCATATTTGGCACTCGGCATCTCACTTTAATTTCACTTTGAGTTGGCCAGTATCTGTGTTTTCTCATTACAATGGTGGTAACTGAGAACCTTCGGTTAATGGACCGCAATCCAAGCAGAAAATGAAGTGCAATGCGCAAGATGGTCTGTGTTTATGGCCATGGACCCATTGGGGCTTTATAATTAATACCTGCTCGAATTAACGGCCGCCAGGTGAAAATACTCGCAATTGTAATGATAATGTGAAGCCGAGCGTTGCAGTCCATTAAATTTTTGCACAAGGCTCACTCGAATTAAATAATAAAATATTTAAAATTTTTACCCAACATGAAGAAAGCCTTTCCATCCGCCATCTCCTTTGGCTGAGTTTCCTTTATTTTATTATTCTTATTACTGCCTTTATTGTTATGAGCCAAAAGACAAAGGAACTGAAACCGAAACTGTTACTGTAATGGTAAGTGTAACTGGAGCGGCTAGTGAGTGGGTGGAGAGGTTGGCAATAAGGTAGGGTTCTGCTGCGGTTCTGCTCGACTGCAGATCCTGCGGCTACCTGTGAAGTGTGTGCCATGCTCGACATCTCACCTGCTTACCGCACCGATGGCAATAACAACAGCAGCAGGAAAAATCGAGAAAAGTCGGTTTCGGTAGGGAAAGGGTGCGGTCAATGCTCTGACCTGCTTGGACATCCTCCTTATGTAGTGTGTACATACACGTAGTCACCGGAGTTGAGCTTGATTTTTATGCGCGTGTAAACAGTTATTACATGGGGCAGTTAATGTTTATATGACCCTTCTAATGGTCGTTAAATGTGGCTAACGGGGTGCCAACTCAATGAAATTATATTAGATTTTATGAATATTAAGTATGTTTTTGGTTCCCACAAACAAAAACACGAACTTCTTCTAATAAATTGGTTTATGAGCTAGGTCTTTAAGGATTATGAATATAAGTTGCTGGCTTTTGTCCTGTGTTTCTTAAAACATGAATGCCAAATACTTTATTGAACACTTATATGCCACTCCTTTCATACAATAATATTCTCTTCTGCCTCTGTTGTGTTTAATATAAATGTTTTAAATATAAATACTCTTCTTTATAGAGGTATAAAAACGCAAGTGCCTATAATAATAAATATGGAAATATTATTTAAAATTTATGATTATATTTTTTGTTCCACCTGTGTCACGGAGAAGTAACTTTTCTGCTTTGGTAAAAACTAGCAATTTGATGAAAGACTTTCTGTACTTCTCTCAGCTGACAAAAGAGCAGATGTGCAAACAGGAAACCAAACAGTTTCTAAATTATTTCAGCTTACACCTGCAGTGGCTTTATATCCCATTCACCTTCACTTCACCCCACTCATCCCGGCCAGGAACCCGACTTTAACCCACAAATGCCAATCTGCTCTGGTCAGAAGAACACATCAGAAAGTGCCAACCCAAAGACAAAACCATAAAAATTAATTATTTCTTTTTGTCGGGCCAAAGCAAAGGAGAAATGTGTCGAGTTGGGGAAGAAAGCAATCCGAGCGGAGAAAGGATATCCAAGGAGTGGAGTGCAGCGAGGACGACTGATGCATGAGCAAATTGTGCTGAACTCACCAAGCGTTTATTGTTTAAATTTTCCACATTCTCTCCCGCGCTCAAACACTCGCTCAGACACATATGCACTGGAAAAAATTATATAATAAATACTATTATCTGAAGCCAAAAATATTTGTTTTGTTTAAGTACTCATAAATCATAGTAGTCGTATTTTGTCTTTGTAATTTCTAAGTTTTATTAAATAATTTGGTTTACAATTGATAAAACTTTCTTTTTGCTGGCGAATATTGACTTTGACATACATTTTTCTCTTTCACTGCCGGGAAACTCCCTCATGAATTTAGCCCTTTAGCTGGGTTCAGGCCAACGCAGCTGGTGGTTGCCGCTTCCGGGGAACTCATGCATTTTTCACCAGGAAGAGCAACAGTGTTGCAAGAGCAAAAAATAGAAAAAACAGAGGCAGCAACGGCTTAAACAACAATGTGCAACGGGCAGTGACAATGGATTTATGCTTAATTGCCAACGACATGGAGACGTCTAACACACAGCTCTGCACCAGCACAGTTTTTCCGCTTTTTCTTCGGGGGCGAAACAATTGCCCGGCGTATTTCACTGTCACTCGGTGGCCCCTATTGATCTGCTTTGAATATGCCAATCTTCCGGACCCCGTACTCGACCCAACTGGGAGTTAATAAAGCCCGACAGTTGGGTGGCAGCAGTTCGCTTTCCGTCGTTCTGGATCCACAGCCACATGCTGATGGTGTTGTTATTGCCAGCTGCCAATAACGTTAATTACGGCCACGGCTGTTAATTAAGTTTTAAATGCGCAGACGACTAATTAACTCGAAGCCAAGGACGCGGCATTCAAATGCAGACAGACAGGCAGCCGCATCAAGGTTGCGTTGAACGAGCTTTGAACTTAATATAAATGACCTATCAATAACTGAGAAGCTGATTAGCATTACGTGTCTGAAAATAACTCTTTGGGCTTAAACTCATTACGGCCGTTTCAGATCCTGTAAGTAGAATACTGAATTAATCGGCATTAAGTAAAGTATTTAAATGAAAGCCATTAAAGTTTTTGTCAGTTCTAAGACATTTGGAAACCTGAATATTTCCGAATAAAATATAGCATTGTCCAAATGAAGTCATTAAAATAAATGTTTGAAATTGTCGAGAGGGTTTTGTGACATCCCCGAGTAAACATTATCCCAGTTATATAACAAATGGAAACCAATTCTCAGGGAAACCACAACGGGCTGGCTTTCTCGACCTTCGGCGAAAGGAAAAAGGTTTAACCGCCTGATGATGATTACACCTTATATGTTGTAGGAAAAACAAGTCACGCCAGCAGTTGCAGACATCGACTAAACAATAAAGGATGCCTCGGCTCTAAAGTGGAATACCAAACATTTTTTCTTTGTATGCCTTTATTGAAAAATTGCTTCGCCCAAATCGATGCCGCAGAGGATGTGGATGCAAATGACTGGAGACCAAAGGCGGGAAATGCTTGAAAAAATATAAAATTAAATGAAATCCGAATACGAGGGATCTAGCCTAGTGCGGTGCGGAAAATCCATTAGCTGGAATTGATTTTTCGGTTTGCTTTTCAATCAAATTAAATCCTTGCGCCTGCTGAGGCCCCTGCTATGCTGTTGGAAAAATGCCGTGGACCCGTTTGACCATCAATCATGATCCGCAGTCTTTTGTGCGGCTAGGCAGCAACAACAATGAAATAATGAAATGAAACAAAATAAATCATTTAAATTAATGCCAAATTGGACAATGTATAATGGGAAACAATCAAAAAATATAAGAAATTATATTCAGTATACATATTGTATTTGACAACCTTTCAATGTCACTGAGCTCGCCGATATTTTTATCGGCGGACAAAAAGAAGCCGGTGGCAGCACTTAAAGCCATGAAAAAAGCTTTTAAAATGAAATTTACATTGCATCATTTCAGCCAACTCGCCTGAAAATTGCCAGAGGACCCGGGAAACTGAACTAAATAAAAGGCTGTGAAAAGGAAATCTGCACATATTGGTCATTAATAAAAGTTTTTTGCATATTGATACAAAAAGCAAATATTGATAAACAAAAATGAATACGGCTTACAGCTGGATGGGTGCGGGAAAAACCGAAAGAGCCAAGTGGAACAGAGCATATAAATAAATAAATAAAGCGTGTGTGAAAAGGCAACAATAAAACACGTCCGACAGGATCCATAAAACCAGAGATGGTCGCGTGACGTGAATAAATCGATAAAGGATGTCACGAGCTGCAGATTTATTCATTTTCCCTGGAATTTAAGCATCCAGGAAGGGAATTCTGAGGCGTTTCTGATGTCAAAGCGATTTAATTTGAACCCATATGTCGCTTGGCGCACATCAATGTCACATATAACTGAACATAATGTATTATTATCATCTGAAGACAACACTCCTTTATATCGCAGCATCCCTTTGCCACTGACTGCGGTAAAAGCGGTCGCGATTTCAAGTCAATTGCGTCGTTATTTATCAGCCACCATGAATGTATAGTCCTGTAACTGAGGGAAATACAAATAAAGAAAAAGGAAAACGACCAACATTGTCAGAACAACTCTGTGATGTTTTAAGCATTGCACAACTGCGCTGTTGCCTTAACTTGTTTGAAATCTGATGGATGATTTTGAATTGACTCCCATTTATCGTAGTAAAATATTAAAAGAGACTATATATATCCATAAAGATTTCTTAATACAAAAAGAATTGTGGTTTTATGTTCAATGTATTTCTGTTTTGAAAGCCTAATGGCTTGCTTGCATTTGGAGTGCTTTAACCAAACCCTTTATTAGTTCCAACTAAAAATACTACTTCTGGCTAAGAGCTGTGGCTAAAATCCATTTAATTGCAGACTGAGAGCTTCTGCATATTAAATTGCCTATATTTTTTGCCTTTGTCTACTTGATTTATTTTTATTGGGAATGTACTTTAATGGTCGCCAATTTCCGTTGTTCATTAAGGGCATTGTGCATAAACAAACGGGATGTTGCTCTGAATGGGCTTTGCGGTTGGCCTTTTATGACTGTGATTATGTCTTTTGTGTTCAATGTGTAAAATTGTGATACCTGTGGTAATTAATTTATTATATTTTTAAGCATGGTTTGAGTTACTTTGTTAGGTTGAAAGCCACAGTTACTGCCTTTGGGCATTTAAATTCGCACGCTTGTTAAGCCTGAAAAGAGAAATCGGTTTGTTGCGAGTTAAAAGGCATATCATTTGATTTGTATTTTCTTAATTGGAAGTGTTCTTTTGTTCTTCATTAAGTTAGGAGATGTCAAGATGAGGAGGTTACTGTTCCTTGCATTGATTTCTTCTACAATACTTTCTATTCAAAGTGAAGAGAACTTAAGCACTAACACAAGCAAAGGTATATATAAGTTTAAAATATATTAATAACTATAAATACTCCTTCCTTTTTTCACTTTTCTTAGATGTATCACGATTTCAACGGTCCTGTACAGCTAAACGTAATTTAAATATCGAACAAATTTGTTTATTTTCGTATTTACATTTCAAATTCTTTTACCATTAGAATGTAGCGATGAGGATTTTCAAAAGTTATTGGATTCATTCATGACTCCAGCAGCAACTACGAAGGCTCCTCCTCAGGCACCACCACCGCCTCCACCCCCACCTAAGAATGAAGTAAATCTATTTAAAGACATTTTTTCTTTGATTGGCAAAACCAAAAAGGCATTATTTGGATTTGGGTAACACCTTTGATGAGTTCACGCGAAATGGTTATTTAAATAAATAAAATTAACCTTTCTATTTGGATTTCTTTATATAAGTGAAACAAATCCGATTCATTCAACAACATTTACTTTATGACATGCTAAGCAAGCCTAAAAGCTTGACCAGGTCTTGTGGACTGCAGGATCTAGAAAATAGTTTTGCATACATAAGTATAATTATCTTAGTGCTGAAATGTAAATTTAACCTTTTAATTTACTATTTTCTCATTAAATTGCTCGACAGCTCTTGATTTAATTAAAGCAGACGGGTGGTATGAGTGATGTGGCATGAAATTTATCTGCATAACTCATACGTCATGTCGGACGGACTGCAAGGGGGATACAGATGCCCCTCTTTGTCTGCTTCTGTGTCAGTTAGTTTTCCCGCCGAGTCCTTTGTTTGTCGGCATGTGTGTGTGATAAAGTGGGTGGGGAAGCAGCTGCAGCTTAATGATTTTCACGCTTCTGTTGCACTTAAGTTGCAGTTTTCTCTATTTTTTGGCTTGAAAGAGGCGTTAATGGCAAACAGAAGTGACAACAGCTGGCTTACAGAAAGTGATGGAGGACAAGGGGGCGGGGGCAAGGCACACATGCTCATTTGGCTGGCGGGCAACAAATTCCAAGTCATTAGTCGTTGTCCCGTCTCCTCTAACTGCAAAAAACACACTGCAAACTAAATTACAAGGGCTGCCGAGAGCATTATACGAGATTAGAGGAACGAGGACGCCAAAATGGTGACAACTTTCGCCCGAGGAGAGATTCTCACTTACGGTTTCCGCTCAACATAATTAAAGTTTTTTCTGACACAAAAGCACTATAAAAATTTCACTATGATTCTGTTACTGTTATTTTACAAGAATACAGTTTAAACTAAAACACAAAATAGACAAGTCAATTTATATTTTAGAAATGTAAAAGTCAATTGTAGTTCCTCGTACCAACTGTTTTTGGATAAAGATCAATGTAAATCCCAATTTTACAATCAATTTTTCAATTTTTAAAGATCTTTTGCATGTTTTCATACAAAATTATTTCCCTTAGTGCTGAAAAAATGTAGTCAAAATTAAGCACCAGCCATTTTTGGGACATACGGGATAAGGACCTTCTCATGACAGCTTGTTCCGCACGCTCTACACTGCTCAGCATATTTCATAAGTCAGGAATGCTTCCGGACAGGCTCTTCCCTGGTCGTCAGTGGATCGGGTCCGTGCCCGGCGAAAGCTGACTGTCGGCAGACGGCTGACATCTGCAGGATGTGTCCATGGTGTCGCCATCGCTGTCATTGCCCATCATGCTCATATTGTTGATGTCACCCGGGCACGAACACGGGCAGGAGCAGGAGCACCTTTGGAGCTGGAGCAGATGGGATGAGATGAAATGGGTGCTCCGTTGCCAAGGTAAGCGATGTGAATTTAAGCCACATAAAGAGCAGGCGTGTGTGCCTGAGTCGGGGCACAATTAAAAGACGAAGGCAAAATTAATATCCGCTTACTGACGTATCTTCCTTGCCATCCGTACAACGACATTTTTCAAAGCTGCTTACATAATTATGCACTGACTTTGAGAAATGCTAATGGTTATTATCGGGATTTATAAGCAGCTTACCGCACATTTTGCAGATTATTTAATTTTCTTTTTGTTCCTGGCATAATTATGCGGATACTGATTTCGGCTGAAATGGCAATTTGGAAATGAGTAACATTTTATAGATTTATTATTCAATTACCGCAATTAAATTTGGCACACAAACGGGCAAACTTTATGCATTATTCTAATGGAATCTTAAATATTCATCAACACTCTGTTCCTAAATTAATTAATTTCCTCTTTCGCTGCGTTGTTTATCTACCAAAGCCCCGACTCACATAATGAAGCAACTTGTCCGAGAGGAAGTTCCTCGGTTCCGGGTCAACAGGATCCAGCCGGTCCAATTCCCTCAAACTCATTTGCATACGAGGTGCTATCAAAATAAAAATTTAACAATTCCAAATGAGGGTGGGGAAGGAGGCCAACTTGGTATGCAAATTGAACAAACACAAACCGCAGCAAAGTTTGCGATGGGCCAAAAAACAAAAAGGTGAAGTTCAAAGTTTCCACTTCGGCTGATATGATATGTTGGAGTCTCGTTTAAAAAATCTGTTGAATATGCAAATTGCACTTAAACGATTGCGGCGACCATTTTTGTTATATATTTTGAAGTAAACTTTTCGCTCTCTCAAATAAATTTAATAATTTATCACATTATTTAAAGCTTTAAGCCGCTTTCAGATTCGCCCCCATGTTCGAGGGCTTCTTTTTGCATATTTCTGTTCATAATAAACGATATTTTGTTCGTCCACACACAGACACGCGTCAGGCATCTGAAATTTGAGAAATTTTTAAAATTTTTAGCATCTTAGCTACTCAGGTAATGGCCAGGCGAAACTTTTCTTCGCCATTTCCCAGACTAGCTTTTAGTATTTGTAGAGGAAAGTCAAGACCATTAGCTTAGGTTACTTGTATTACATATTTAAAAATAATATGAAAAAACATCTTTTGAAGTTTCAAAATTATAAATATGTCCTTATTGGGTTATTTACTCTTTAAACTCAGCTATTGTATACCTCGGTATCCACCCATAGTAACGTGAAAATAACCTCATAAAATGAGGTATCTATAGTTACTTAGTTAACTTTGACACTTTCGCTAAGAAGGCTTGCAATCACACTTCAATTCACTTTCACTTCAACCACTTTCAGGGCATTTCAAATTCTGCTCAAAGGTTGGCATTCCACTTGCCTTGTTTTAGTGCCATTTGTGCGTTATTTTTATAAAGTTACCTCATGAATTATTCATAAACGAAGCAGACGTACCGTAACGTAACCTAAGAAAAACAGCGAAAAAAGGGAAAATCTTTAAGTTTTCCTCGTAGGAAAGGCACTAGAGTTGGCAAGACAAATTCTACTGGCTGGCAGGCAGACTTCGCTGGCAAATAAGAAAATCTGATTAAATTATGGGAAACTTTCTAATTGGTTTGTTATTAAGACAGCGATTACCATAAATTACATTTGAAATAAGCCATTTGGCGGCCATACAATTGATAAAGCCGTTTCCGAAATGGCTTAGCAAATTATCTCAGTCGAGTGAACTGGACCCCAAAAGCAAAACAAAGCAAACCCTTGCCTCATGCTTAATGCACTTGACAGGAGCAGACCCGAAACCCTCAAGAAAGCCCCCAATTTACAGCCCCAAAGTTATGACTTTTACGCCCCATTATCGCTTAAATAATTTAGCCGGCCACAAGAAGGAAAAACCGAAAGCCAAAATTGCTAGAAAAACAAGAAAACCTTGCATAACTTATGGCCCACAAAATGAGCGGTAGTGTGATGTGGACAGGGCCTGCATTTATAAAGAGCCAAATTAACCGCAATTAGATTTTCACAAAGCGTACAAAAACATTTAATGAAAAAATGCGAGAAACGACCCCACACTGATTACAATTTCGCGCTCCAGTGTGTGGAATTTGTATGTGGCCAAGTGGCTGGAATTAAGTAAGAAATCCACTTGGGTTGCCGAAATTAAGGGACTGCCAAAAGACCCACCAAACAACAATCGACCAACACGGTGGCAAAAGGTAAACATTATTTTTTCATCCTGTCAATTTCGTGCTTTTTAATTAAAATCCTGCGTGCTCAGGTACAATGTAAACACGCCCAAGCCAAAAAGGGATAAGCAAAGCAAAAGGTTCGCTAATTAAAAAAATAGAATTTCGTTGCCCTTTAAAGACGTCCGGGGATCCATCGCCATCCATCACTTTGATGACGCATGGCCATGAAGTGTGAAAAATTCTGCCTCATTTTTAAATAGACTTAAGTCGGTCCGCTTAACGTTTTCCCTACTTTTGCCTTTTGGGGGCCAATGGCACCGCCTGCCATTTATTTGGCTCAGTTCTTGAAATTAATTAAACACTCGCCGGGCACAAGGTCGGCAAACGAAATGGAAATGGTTTCCCCTTCATACACGGCCAGTGCCAACAATTGGCCTTTAAGTGGGCCGCAATCGGAACGGATGTTTGGCCAAGAAAAAAGGGAAACTTAAACTGGAATAGAAATTGTGTTGGTTCAGGGAAAACGGAAATTTTAACTAACTAGGGCTGGAAGGCCTTCCGCTTCCGCGCCCATCAAACGCTACACAATTGCGCGTTTTAATAAAGTTTCCGCGAACTCCGCGCATAAAATTAAACAATTAAGCAAATAGTTTTTGAAACTTAGATGCAGCCTTGAGTTCTTTGAGAAATGGCCAGGGGAAAAACTTAAAGGAACATTTATAAAAAAAACATTTAATTTAACTTAAAATATTGCCAGTATACCAGAAAGGCTTTGTGAATTACATCGAAGCTGGATAAAGATTCCTACAGCCAGAAGTAGTTCAGATCATTCCATATGCTGATAATTAAAGTGTTATTAACGTTTAGAAACCGTCTTATTATTTCTTTAACACCTTAATATTATTGTATTATTTCCACTAAGAACTCAAAGCAATCCGATTGCCTAAGCGTACTTGATTTGATTACTCAATTAACAGTCAATTAGTTGTCAATCGGCGGCACTGGCAGCGCTTTAATATCTTCACACTTTGTCACCCAATAATCCAATCTTAAATCATTTCCATGGCCTCCAGTTCGTGTTTGTGGGAATGGGGCACATAAATCGAATATCCATTCACACGGCCACGCCCACCCAATGTCAATGGTGAGTGGTGGGCAAAAACAGGCCAGAACCAGGACCAGAAATGAGATAGACTGCCGACAGAGACGGACTGGGGCCATAAATAAGGATCCGACCAGGACGGGCTGTATTCCGGTGTATTTTTAATGCCACAATTAAATGCAAATACAATAAGTCGAGATGGGGAAAAAAAGATGAAATTCGCAGGCTGACAACACACAGACCAGGCAAATGTTGAAGGATGGCCCTGGGACAGCTGAAGGACACCCGGACGGACAGATCTGTTCCCTATCAACAGCTTTTTCCTGCCTGCCGCCCAATTTTTTTCCTCAGCTTTTCTTATTTGGGTTCTTTTTATTTGCAGCAGCAGCAGCAACAGCAGCAGCAGTAGGGAAAATATTTTTGATGCTGACAACAAAAAACATTGGCGAGCAACAGCCTGCGGAAAATATATAGACAAGAGCCACGCCCCACAACCAACACTGCCGCCCAGCCTCCGGTAACAACAATGCGGCAAAGTAGCTGGAAAACAAAGGAAGAGAAAAGGAGTGCAGTGTAGCCAGAGGTCCTTGAATGTGGTTGAGCAAAAAAATTGCTATCCATACACACACACATGCACCACACACAAATGAGATATTCACTTAAATTTAATTTCCATTATTTTCATGAAAGCATATTTTAATTTGCTTTATTGGCAATTTTTCGTCGAGCAGCAAGAATACCAATATGAAAAAAGGGGGCGATATTAAATGTTAAGCATCGAATGCTTCCCTCTGGCGGCTGCGGTCGTTAAGTATTTTTAATAATGTGATTTTGCAGAAAGAGAAAGGAACAAAAAAGGCTTGGGAAACGCATCGACAGGTCGCAGTTTATTTTCTTTTATTTAAATAGTTGGGTTCCGGCTTCATTGGGGCACTTTTGCCTAACAAATTAATTAAAAGCCAGATAAAAACAGTTTAATGTTCAGATTTCTGCAGAAAAAGTGTGATATATTTGTGCACGCTTTTCCAATTATTTCATCAGCGGTTTCGATCGGAAAGACAGACTGCACAATTAATTGAACTGCCACAAATACCGCGACGGTCGTGAAAAATACCCGTAATTGTACCAGCCGCACTTTGACACTTTCATGGATATACATTTAAGCAAGGTAAAGCAAGAGGACAAACAAAAATATCATGTTTCACTTACTGTTACCCTGCCCAACGGCAATCCCTGCAACGAATTTCATCCGTCGTTTTTTTATGTTTCCATCCCGAGAGGAAAACAAAATATATATTTTTGCTGCTTTTTTCTGACAGCCCGCTTCCGCAGTTTGGGTTTGGGAATGCTTTGTGGACTTTGTTTGCTCTTTAATAAAAACAAAGGACTCACAAAAAAATTACATTTTCGCTTGGACAGTTTTGTTTCTGTATTAGGCGAATCATTCGAGCCACATGGCTGTGGGTTAAAAAAGAATCAACTGAAAAGGAAGAAAATCGAGTCGAATGCAATTAAGTTCAGCCTGGGGTCCTTGGGGCAAACAAACACTTCTTAATTACTTGCTTTAGTTTTGATATTTCCGATTGTGATTTATAGATTTTCTGCTGCACTCAATCATGACAGTTTTTGGCTCTCGTGCCCTGGGCACAAATGCCATTGGCAGTGGTCGTAACTGTGGCGAAACGTGACCGGCCAACAAAGGAAATTCGATTATTGCTGAAGAAAAACTTGAGTTGGAAAATTCAGTACGAGCATGTGCAGGAAAAGCGGATGGCTCCAACTTGTAAGTCAGTTCACCTGACTCACGGCTCTTTGGCAATTCCGTTTAATTTCCCTTTGCGCTCGCTCAAATTGCAGTTAATGTAAATGAATGAATATTCCATTAAAAGTCAACTCGACGAGCAGCGGGAGAACCGGTGGGAAAGCAACAGGCAGTCAGAGTCTTTAAGCTGCGAAAATGCAAATTGATTTCCCGGCTCACGCCTTATTGACGTAACACGTAAAGCGTCGCGCAGCTTAATTGGGATATTGAATTCGCCTCGCCGCTCAGGAGTTACATAAAATATGGTATGTTTATTTACAAACGGTAACCACCTCGACTGCACAACCCACAGGATAGTCCTACTCAATGTCATCATCCTTGACCAGCTTGGCATTCGGGTTGCCCAACAGCAAAGCCTCGTTATGCTGCCTCACGTTGTAGTAAAAGAAGAAGGACTTGCTGTACTCGAAGGTGGTTATCATGATGGCACAGGCAGGTGCCACCTTTAAAAGCCTCGGCCCGCATCCTGCAAATAGTCCTTTCACGCCATGCATCCTGTATACGGATACCAGCCTGCTGTAGGTTGACTTCTTTGTGAAATCTCTTGCTGGTGAATCCGTGAAGATGACTCTTTCTCCAAACTCAATCTGTTCGTGGGTCTTAACCACATCGAAAGGCGTCGTTACGATGGCAGCCACTGATCCTGCCAAAACGCCAGCAAAAAAACTCACACTAAACGAGGGCTCCGAGCTGTTGCCAAGATTCTGTTTGAGGTACTCGTAGATGGGCCAGTAAATCCCGGAAAAGGGCACGTCTCTGAGGATCGTGGGCCTTAAACCTCGCCATAATCCCCAAATACCCTGGAGAGCAACCACATTTCGGACGAACTGCATCATCTGGACGTAGGTCTGACGCTGGGCTTGCATCTTGGTCCTGACCAGTTCGATGGGACTCACCACTGTAACTGCAAAAAACCTAGCCGTAACGCCTGACATCATGGGAACCACCAACGGAAGACTCTGTTTGGAGCCCCTATGGGAGGAAAAGGGTATATATTATGATTTTATATTTTATTTATTGAGTGAGCTTTTCTTTGTTCTAAATCTTTTTATTTTAAGCAGTTTCACAAATAATAAATAATTAACAAAATATGTTATTTATTCTATTCCTCTCTGCTTTTCAAATGATTTGTTTAGAGCTGAAAAGACATTTTTAACATTTAATATTTAAGCAATTTATTTCAAATCCTATCGTTTTGCCATATTTGTTGGCGCTTACTATTTAATCCCCATTTTGGCAAATAGCTTAATAAAGGATTAAACGAGTTTAGTATTTAAGTTTATAGGATATTTAATACGAAAATAGTTTATACCACATCAGTGTTAGTGTTGCTTAACCTAAGGCCTATTTTTATTTAGGACTTTAATTTAACCTACCTGAAATCCATATGACTGAGTGGCGGTCTCCTATTCCATTGGCTCTCGTACATTTGAAGGTACTTGGCCTTGAACTGTTCGTAGGCCACGAAGTAGATGATTGTGGAGGGCAGGGCGGAGACGAGAGTGGGTCCAAGTCCAGACCACAGGGCGGCCAATCCCTCGTGCCTGCTGATCTTCATCAGTGCATCCCAGGTACTGGTGAACTGTGGTCTGGGCCGAAGATTTGCCCTATCCGGACCATTAGGTCCGCTTGCGAAGAGGTGATCCATCAGGCCGTTTGAGTAGAAGAAGCACTTATGCGCCGAAGTTTGCTGTGATTGCATGCGGGTCTTGATCACGTCCAGCGGCGTCATGAAACATGCCGTGATCATGGCACCGGTGCAGGCCGAGATCACCTGCTGCAGTGGCCGGATTTGGAAGCGGGAATCGCTCATCAGCTTGCGATGTGTTGACTTGGAATCCGTTGCTTGGTCGGTTGCTTCATCTCGTCGCGAGCTCCTTTCGGGTCTGAGGCTAGTGCCGCCTGATGTGCCACCACTACTACCACTCCCACCCTTACCGCCTCCCCCAAAGGACCTTGAACCCGGTCCACGACCCATCGAAATCTCCGATTCAGCTGGATTCGTCTCCACGCTGGTTGCACTGGTGTCTTCCTTCTTCGACATGGCTGCTGCCTCTGTCGAGCCTGAACAGTTGAAAAGAGTCGATCTGGTTTCGAAATAGCATTTATAAATTTACATTTCTAAATTTCACATTATTTGAGGCCAAAAGAAATTTCCGAAATTTCCGTTGACAGTTTCGGTGGCAACTCTACAGGCGGCCAGGTAAGAGGAAGGCATTGTTATGATGTTTCTAATAAAAGAGATACTTTTTTAAAATCATCATAAAGATAAGAACTCTGTTTTTAGTATATATAAATATTGTATAGCGAATTCAAATTGGTCTCGTGGATTCCAGTTTCTGGCTACATTTAATGGACAATCCAAACTTTGGCTTATGTTTTTATTCAATTATTTGAGTGGAGTCTTTCATTCACTCCCCTTCGTTCCGGGTGATTATAAATTCCATTCGGAAAATTCCTCTTTATTTATATGATTTGCCATTCCATCGTTAGCGCTGCTCTCCTCCTTCCTCCCTCTGTGCTCCTGCCAAAGCAATTAAAATACTTTTGTGCCAAAGTGAAAAAAACGCAGCCATTCCGGAATTGTTGTCGTTCCTGCTTTACTTTATTTTTGGCAATTAACATGCAGTACTCTCATTGCTGATGGCATTCGCACCGACTGTATCCGTACTTCCGCCCTCGATTTCCCAGCCCCCTGGCAGTTGGCGCCAGTTGGAGGAGAGGAGGAGGCTGTTCATTATGCCATGGCGTATCCACTCTCCAACGGGAGCTTTCCATCCCACATCGACCGCACCTTCAAGTCATCCCGCTTCGCAGCTGAAAATGTGTCAAAGGTTTGATGTACTCGTAACGGGTTTGTGGGTTTCGCCTTGCTGCTGGCTCGATTTGGGTTCTGCACTCAAAAAATTATCGAACATTAGAAATAACGAGGTATTTAAATTTCGAATTAATTACACTCTAAAAATTTGGTCACCACTTATATTTATAAAATATATTATATATTATATTATTTTTTTGTATTATTATATAATATTTGATTTGCTTAGATAAGTTATATATTATTTTATTGTAGTTTACTATAAAAAGTAGTTCACCTTTTACGACTGAATAATCATAGAAAAAAACTTCATTATGTTTAATTTTAAGATTAAATTTTTTTACTGATAAAAAAGTTCGGTTATTGTTTTGCGTGTGTCTGGCCGCAAACCAAGTTGACTGTTGGCGGAAAATAATTGACATCAAAATGATGTCACTGTATGGATGCTTCTGAGCACCTGACACATGTGCCACAACCTTTCGTCAGTATATTCCCACTCACATTATTGCACAGCACAAAATTGTGGTCTTAGAACCTTCTGTAAGAAACCCATTAAATATTTGACGTACTGCATTAATTAGGAACATATAAATCATTGTATTTATAAGAGTCAGTTTGTTTATTACTTTAATTAGTTTTCTAAGCTAGACTCCTCAAATAGCATTTCTTCTTTTTGTCTTACACTTTCGCAGAAAAGTCTTAAATTGGCGGTGACGAAAGCGTTTGAATCGTGTGATTATCTCTTAAGCAGATTGCAGATTGTTTTAAATTCAATTTGGGTTTTTTCTTGAGTAGGTTAGGTTGTTTTCACAATCCTTTCTTAGTGGGGCAGCAAGGCCAAGCCTAAGACAAGAACAACATCAACATCAACAAGAGGAGTCTGGAAGGACACGTTATAGCGCTTCTGAAAAACACGAGAAAACACTTGCCAAAAGAAAATGTGGGAGATGGAAGGGAAGGAGTCGGTAGTTGCCAGAATGTTACCCTGATATGATTACCTTGCTTTACAAGTTTGCTGCAAGGCCACGACGAGAAACAAAAATGAATGGTTAACTAAATGAAAGGATACTCTAGATGGTACAATTTTAAGGTCATTTGTGTTTAGGATTTCAGTTCTATAAGCTTTAAGTTTGCTATCTCTAACAATGGCGCTTAAAACCTATTTAAATTCAGTTTTGTTTTATTGCTTTAATTCATTATGTATTTAAATTTGAATCTTTATGGCCATAAAGTTAGTGGCTTAGGCCGCGGATTATTTAATATTAAAAGCTAAAGAGTTTAATGTGGGTCCACGAAAAACGAAATGTGGCCAGAAATTTAAGTTTACTATTTATCATTTTCTTTTAAGTCTGTATAAAATGAAGTTGTTAAAGAATTTTATGAAAAATACGAACAGATTAAAAACTAGTTTTCCTAACACTAAAACTTTAGCATTCGTCCAAAAATAGCTCAACGGTGATGAGAATTTCGGGAAATGATGAAAAAATGCTGATGACAGAGCCGCCATGGGAAATAACTTAACCAACAGCCACTACCCTCGGCAAGGGTATAAAATGGTTCGAAAAGGAGACAATGGGTGGGTGAGTTGGCGGCCCTGAAGGTAAGTCTCGAACGAAATATGCCAACATGCACATGACATACTAACTAGCGCTGCTTTGCATCACCTACACGTCCACCTCCGCCTCCGTCCTCCGTCCAAGTTCCCTTCCGGAATCCCATTCGGCTGCGTGACAACGTACCCGTCATCACATCACACGCAGACATTGTCTTACAGTTATGACTGGCGTTGCTATTTGGAATTCGACACGTACGCGGGTATCCCAGGACACGTAGAACGGTGTAATCCCGGGGTAGGGATGTTCCAAGGGCGTGGGAAGCTGAAAGCAAATGGGGGGCTGTTCAAGGGGCTTCAAAGGGGGCGGCATGTGCCGCGTCGATTTTGACACGTTGCCAGTGTGTGGGAGCTGGTAATTGTGGTGTAAAACTGTAGAATAACAGCACTTAGCTGGCTGCTAATACGTGCACGTGTCTGCTTTGTTGCACAACACGGCGTATGCGCAATGTTCATCTCCCCTCACTGAATCAATAATATAAAAACTGCACACAAAACACAAACTCAATCGAACTCGTTAGGCTTTCAATTTGCCATTAGCAAGCTCGATTAATTACGAATTTCTGTTGTTAATCAACTTGCCAGTCCCAAATGACTTGTCGATCGGAATTAGAGAAACATTTGCCTGTATTATTCTCCATAGGCAGCATCTGTGGCAAACAGATAATGATTATAATCAGCTTAGGGCTGGGCCTGGTTTTCCATTAACTGCTGCCAGTTCATATGCATATTTTTATTTAATTAAAGTCGAGAGTAAATAGCAAAAGTAATGTTGACAGCCGTTGGTTGAAAGCGATTGAAAGGACTTCGATATGTGGATTCACCATATGGCAGACCAAGGAAAATTCACAGACACCGAAAGTCACAAAGGCCAAAAAAGGGAAAATGCGAAAAAGCGCGAGGAGGGAGGGGGAAGAAGAAAGGAAAAAGGGAGAGCGAGGGCAAGACAAGAAGAAAATGTGGCACGCGGCATTCACCGCACAATTCCATTACGTAAAGCAAACATCAGATGGCTGCATGATTGGGTTTGGGTTTGCTGCTTCTTGCGGCTCCCCAACGCCCGTTGCTTGGCATGTGGGCGTGGCGCCAGTAAAAGCAACATATTGAATATTGATGCGCATCGATTTCGACTTGAAAGCGGGAAAAGTTCATGCCAACAACGCACACACACGCGCACGCTCTTTGTTTATAATAAAAACATTTGCAATTTCTTGCATCCACGCATTCAATAGCTTCCGACACTATTCTGCATGGTAAAGGTCGATTTTATTTAACGAATCCCATTTTGTTATTATAAAAACGTTTTGAAGGATAGCTACCTGCAAGGCATGTACAAAGTTAAAGGTTTTTACATGAAAAAGGGTGTATGGAATGCCACCGTTAAACAATTTTAGATACCAGCATTGTTCTTGGATTACAAATCTTATTATATAATAAAATGAAATCAAAATGGGCATAAAAATACAGGATTTATTAATATTTATAACACTTACAAATCATACCTAAGAGTTTTGCCCTAAAATAGTATTTTACGTAAACAATTTAAATAATAATTTTAACCACAGAGTCCTTGAAGGGGACATCTTCGTCTTTAAGCTCTTCCATAAACTACAACATGAGTATTATTCTGTTCTTGGCGATTAAACTTTTTGTTCACGCAAATTGGGATCGAGATAACTCGATTCCGGTCAAACTTTCGACAGCCGAGTGTAAGTGCACTCAGCGCAGTTAACTGGCTGCGGCGTCTGCGAAGCAATTTGTGAACGCTCGTCGAGCATTTAAAACAATTGGTGCCAAACAATTACGCGGAGGGTGCCTTGCCCGAGGAACAGCGGGAGGGGGTAGCAGGGGCAGTATGCGTGGAAGGAAGCCAAAGACTTCCTCGCCAAATTAGCGACAAATGTGTGGCGGCTGGAAGGATGGGGGCGTGTCAAGTCAGCTGAGGACGGGGGAAGGAAGGCGGTGCAGACAACGACCCAAATTGCAAATTGCAACAAAGTTGAGCGAAAGTGGGACAACGATGGCGACAACGAGCGCGACGACGGCCGCTTTGTCTGCGTAAGTTGGTAATAAGCAAATTAAATGCCAAGGAAACGCGGCCCAGCAAAGTAGGCAACAATAAAAATCCACCAACTGCCAATATGAGCCGAGTGACTTGGCGCATTAACACCCCGATGACGCCACATGCCACCAGCAGCAGCAACATGCAACCGAAGCGCAATATCATGGGCGTTAATTGCCACTCAATATTAGGGCTCAGGGAGGGGCAAAGCGAGCGGCCAAAACGGAAATGGGCGTTGGACGATGGCAGCATGAGAAAGTTCTATGGTCATGCTTGAGCAGCCCACACGTACCAACTTACCGTAGCCATAACTGCCAAAATAACAATAATAATATATTTTGCTCTTTACTCAATATTTGTACAGATTATTGATCGATAATATGTTAAACAAATTATATAAATAATTTAAATTTATTTATTAACCAACTGCTAGCATTCAAAGCTTTCCATTCATTTGACACTTTTTCCAATCAGTTTATTTTATATTCGTTTTATATTGCGGTCTAAAATATTTGTTCATGGTTTGGATAAAGAAAATTTTTTGTAACTTTTCCCACAATGTGAAAAACTAGGGACAAAATGTGTTAATTTAAAAAAAAAAGTTATTTTATTTATTTAATTTCTTTTTTTCTAAATGAACAGAAATTCAGTATGTTTTAGTATTTTAAACGTTGAAATTTTAAATGAATTTGTTTTTTAGACAGACGGAGCTACCATTATCCCACTGTGAGCTAGTGCTAGTCACGTTCTACAAAGTTTCCTGCGCTTTTCCACGCTTTCATTTACTTTTAAAGGATCTTATGCACAGCTTTCCTTCAGCCCTCACTATGTTTTTTCCCAGTAATTGCAGTTTTGCTTTCGCTTTCCCAGGAAAAATGTTTATGGTAGAGCTGGAGCGAGAGGGGAAATATGAAAACAACAAAAGTCATAAAAAATATATAAATAAAATGCGCTCTTCCATAAATCTCATACGTGTGAGTGTCCATGTGGGCGTTGGTGATTGTGTTTGTGCGAGGGGGGATTTTTCGGTTCGTGCGTGCTGACTTGCCAAAGATCCTGTCTGCACCGAAAACAACAATAACTACAGAAAGAGGAGCAGCAGACCTCCTGGCTGAAATTTATAAATTTAATAAAGGGAAAACTATGAGAAATGTAAATGCAAATGGGGCCCTTGTTTTTGCGTTTAAGCTTCATGCAATGTGTTTCTGCAGATAGAATTTCATTTATGATATGCGCACAATTTTATTCATTTAAATTTGTTTCTGATATACACAGAATGGTTGGTTGCCTCTTGCTGAGTGCTCATCTGCTAATTCACCCACACCCATGCAAGTGTGAATAAAAACATACATATAAATGGAATCACTATTTAAAACACATTAACATATTCCGGCGTGTTTAGGACGAAGGACTCCCCTTTGCACTTGAAAAACTTAAATCAATTGCTCAATATTATTTTATGCCAACGAAATTTTACGACCCATTGAACTCTCGACCGCAGAACAAACAAATAAACAATGGATAGGATTAATTAAAAAACAGGTTGTAGATACTAAAGGGCATGGGCAAAAAAAATGTATTTAATTAAATATTTATATATATTATTATTATTTTACCCCCCATGCTAGCCGATTTCTGTTCATTTGCGAATTTATATTCATTGAGGTTTTCGATGCAAATAATTTGCATTTAACACATGCGCACAGGCATACAGCTTCGACCACAAAATTACATTTAATTCTCATAGCACAAAATTATCAACCAGCAAATCCGTTTATGCACTTGATGTCCTTAATGACTTTTGTTGCTTCTCTTGCCGCTGCAGTTTTCAGTTTCAGTCTAGTCGCCCAATACAATTAATTAAACATTTTCGTTTGTTTAGAAAATTGCATTTGAGATCTCATTCGCCAAAAATTGATATTCCTGCGATGGTTCAATGATAATATTTGCTGGCAAATTATTCCGTAAAATTCAATAAAATATCTAACATGAGAGGGCAGCACGTGTAACTATCTGCGAACAGAAATATCCCAGTAAATATTTTAACAGAGTTAAACAATTTCCACAACCGCCAAATTTGAATGATTTCAATGAAATTTTATTGTTAGGGGAATAGTTTTATTTCGTTGTTTTTTATGGCCACTAAGCTACAATAATTGCCGGACTTTAAATGATTTGCCAGTGCACATGGCAGCCATGCAGTTGTGTAATTTGGGGCTATTAAATTATTAAAATTTTCATTATAAAGTCAAACAAGCGACATGAATGAAAAAGGAAGGAAATAACGAAACATAATTTGCATATTTGTTTATTTGCCGCCGCTGTTTTTGTTTCTGTTTGCTTTCGCTTGGCCGGTTGGGGACTCGTTTGTTTTGCATTTGCATTGTTGTGGAATGTTTAACCAGTTTATTGTTCAAGGCTATTGAATCGAAGAAGTCCTCTCTGCCCAGTTGCTTTGTGCCAGATACGATTGTAAAACATATAAATAATCGCTTGATAATAATAATAATAATAAAAGTAAAGTGCATTAATTAGTTATGAAGCACTTAAGCTGGTTAATTACAATCGAAAAAATCTTTTGCAATTAAAAACATATGCATTTTATGTTAGCCATGTCGCTCTCAATTAGCTTCAATTAAAAAAGATTAAATATGTACACGGTAATCCTTTTCGTATCCAATTTAAATTTAAGCCGATAAAAAAGGCTATAAGCTTTTTTTGTTTATGCCAAAAGCCTTCCTGTCATAACTTTGCATTTGTCTCGCTTAGAATCCTGTCTTGCCATCGTCCTTTTCGGCCTCCTCCAGTTAACCGGCAACTAGGGGAAAGTCCCTGAACAGTAAATCAAATCAGAGACCAGAACGCCATACTAGTATTAATGCATGAATCGTTCCCCTTCTGCAGGAATGTTCCCCAGCTCTCGTCCCTATATTCTCGTTATTTACGAGACGTCCGCCCTCTACATATTTGACTTTAATATACTCTCGAGTTACTCTAATTTGTGGTTGTCAGCAAATTTTGGACCACAGTCCTGCAGCTGGGTAGAATCTGCTTTGGGAATTTAATTTTTCTTATTTCTGTTTTGCGTTTCGCTTGTGGCTGTGTTGCCTGGCAACTTTGATTTGTTGGACTAAACTATTCGGCTTTGCGGTCCTTCATCGTAGGTTATGAATTATTCAAAATGGGGGAAACCGAGACATGAGATAAACCGTACTAAATTGATTCGAATGCTTAATATTTAATGGGGTATAAGTGTTCTTAACATTCTGCAAAGTGATTAAGAATAGACAGTAGATTTGTTGTCTTTCAATTGCCAATGTTCCGAACAGAAATTCCATTACACGCATATCAAACTATAACAAACTTCCATTTAGCACTTTACAACTCGCCACAAAACTTGGGTTGAGTTTATTCAATTCAAGTACCATTTTCTACACTTTGCACTTCACTGGCAGAACTATGAGAGTGGGCACAAGGAATTTTTCCTTGGCGAAAGAAAACACCAACAATACATGGGTGAAAGAATAAACTTGAGCAGAGAAAGTGCCGGAGGAAAATTACAAAATACTGGCCACAGCACTCTGATAGATGATAGGCATGGAAAACAGATGGAAAATATAAGGGAAAACTGTGGAAAACCAGCATCATGTTTCCTTTTTGAGCAGAAAACAAATGTCAACACATTCCACAGCATGTCAGGTTGTCCAGCCAGTCATTATCGCAATTTATGTGCTCCAGTTTGATCAAACGACTATGATAAAATTGTTTTCGTTGGTCTTTGTGCTGCTCAATTAGTTGGCTCCGACAGGGTATTTTCTCATAATTAAGGTACCTTTTGCCAACGAAATTAGTGCTTACAAAAGTATTCGCCCAAAGAGAGAGCCAAAGAGAGGCCAACAGGAATTCAAAATGAAAACGTTGGAACAATCCATTAGGTCAAGCAATTTAATTACAAATTTTTAAGGGGCGCTCCAAGGGGAAAACATTTCTGTTAGCCCTGTTTATGACGGAGATTTTCAATTTCCCCCCGTAGTTCGTAACAAACTTTCTGCGTAACCTGCGTAAAGAAGTAACAACAACAACTCGAAGACTGGGCCATTTGCATAAGGGGCCAACGCAGAAACGACACAATAACTCAATTCGCAGCACAAAAACCAAAAATAAAGCAGAAAGAAAAAAAATCAAATGTGCCACAAAGGGAATAAGGCATAAAAGCCGGCGCAAAAACTTTTCTGCCAAGGCAGTAAATCCTGCAGGATATGGCCCTAAGCTTAACAACACAACGCACAACTATTCCATGGTGGTGTCGAGGGGAGCGACAACTTTGATGTCCTGGCCGAAAGAAGATCCCAGTTTCAGGATAGTGAAGAAGAGTTAACAACTATGCACAAAACGCCAAATATTTGAAATATGTGTAGCAACAAAAATGTTGACATTTGAACTGATTTCCAGGCAGTCTCCACAGTTCAGACTCCATTTCCCTGCTGAGTGCTCTTACACAATACAGGCAGAAAAAACTTTTTTTAAAATATAAAATTAAAATGTGGAATTAAAGTAAGAGATTCTGTAATAGAATGTTTCATTTCAAGTATCAGGAATTCAATAAATCTAAGAACACAAAAAGCTTTTATTATGACATTTCCTTGTAAACCAAAAACACTTCAAAATGTGGTAAAATATTTTATCTTCAAAATTTCAAATGTGATTTTCTTTACATTTTTTTTTTGTTATTTCTGAAATTTTCCTTTAAGAAGTGTACTTTTTTTACGAGTGACTTAGCCGGCGAAATGTTGTGGCAAATTAAGTTGGCGGCAGTGCGAAATTGCTTTGCCCGGAGAGTATTGGCAACAAAAATGATAGAGAAAACAGAAGCCGAAACGTAAAAGGGGGAAGACAAGTTCGTAAGTAGCTTTTGTTTGGTAAATTGGCGGCAACAATAGTTGACACAAGTTTTGGTGAGCGAGTGGCAAGATTCGAGGCATTGTTATTGGCAATTTCTGCAGCAGCCATTTCTGCTGTCGGTTGTCATGGGAATAAATGTAAAATCAGCCACATACAAATTGCTTTCATCGTTTTCGGTTCACTATATTTCCAAGAATAGGTTCATGTTCATATGTTAGCTTATGGTTAACTTAATGAAGAAAATAAAGTAAAATACAAACACATAGCTTATAATACTTGACATTGGGATTTGCGTATTTTTCAAAATTCATTTAGTGGTGTCCCTTGTTTGTTATGCTTTAGTTTTATGTCATTTACTTACAGTAATTATTTAACGATTTGTTTTAAATACTGTGGCTATTATAGGCTTATTTTCAGTATTCTACGAAATAAAATAAAGTAAATAGATTGTGTCTCTGCTATCTCTAGGTGTAGACTTTTTAAACGTTATATATTTTCCTTAAAACTTTAAAATTCTTTCCTTGGGGAAAAACTGGTACTCATTTAGACTTACTACTTTTGAACTATATACAAGCTAGGTAAATCCTTTCGGTTGACTTATAAATAATTTTCATTTCTATTGCGTAAGTTTGAGAAAATGTACATCAAACTCTTTAATATGTTTTGTAAATAATTCCAAGCAACTTGCTAAAGCGACTTTATTTATGCAATATTCTCTGCGAAATTAGTTTCCCTTACGGGAATCGCTGCTTATATCGATACGGCCAACCTTCAGTGCAATCTCCAGGGAAACCTCCACTGCAATTTTCTTAACTAATTTACGCTGGCAGAAAGTTTGCTCGCAGAAAAGCCAGAAGGCCAGCAGTCGGAGTTCTAACCACGAGCAATGCCGCCAAGTCAAAGATAAACTTTACACCAAAATGTATTATTAAATTTACGCAGGACCCATAAAATTCCAGACCAAAGAAAAGGAAACCGGAGAGGGTTGGGATGCGGACAGCGATTGGAGAGGACTTGGCAGGCAGCTGTCTGTCGCCGCATTGCGGGCACGACGGGAAGTCCTGAAGGACTTCTTGGCAGCCGCTCCTCCCTGATGCTTCTATATATTGGTCGTAATACTTCTGCCGGGTAGCGGCTGGAACTGCTGCAGCTCGGTGCGTACGGTTCCAGTGGACGAGGACGAGGAGGAGGAGTAGGAGTCTGTGGTCGAGCCATTGGATGCCGACGAGCCCGATGATATTGTGGAATCGGTTCTCTGCTGGCATCCCAAGGGATTTGCGGTATTTTCTGATGCTGTTGTTGTTTGCAAATCCTTGCCGGAAGCCTGACGCTGCAATTGAGGTATGCGGCTTGACGTGGTCGGTGCCATTGCTCCAGGAGAATCCCCAGCTTCACCGCCTGGCAGGGATTGGGATTGGGCTTGGGATTGGGATTCCACCTGCTTTGTAGGCCTGGGAATAAGCGAGGTCCTCGAGGGCGATTTCATGGGCTGTGCATACAAATCGCCGTTGGGCGCCGCCCAGTTGCAACTTCCAGGACTGGCCTTAATTGCGTAAATGCACTCGGTCCGCTCGCCCTGAGGGGGTGTGGCCTCATGGGCCGGCGGCACCGACTCGAAGGATTGAAAAGATCCGCTCAGTGCCGTCATCGCCGTTGACTCCGTCATTCTTTTCACTCGTTTAAGACTGGAGGCTGGTGACTTAGGCACAATGGGTCCAACGATGAGGGTGTTCTGCGAGATTTGAGGCTCCTTCTGGTCCTCATCTTCGGCTTCACAATCCCTGGCCACTTGGAGTGGCGAAGTGGTTATGTTGCTGCTGTCCCTGCGCCTCCTGCCCAACGTGTTGCTTATGGTCCTCGGGGGCGGCAGGGGAGCGCTGAAGTTCTGCGGTGGCAGGGAATTCCGCTTATAACTGCTGTTAATTAAATCCTGCTCTGTGGGCAGAACCTTGGGATAGTTACGCTGCCGCAAGAGCTCCAATTGCTGGGCAGCCGTCAAAGGAATGACCTCCAAACCATCGGAATCCTCTCTACTGGTGACATTAATATCCACATCGTCAGCGTGCACAAAACTGGTGACCTGCTCGTCAGCAGCCAAGATCATATCTACCGGATCCGAATGGGAGTGCGTGTGGTTTCTCATCGGATATTGCTGTTGGAGGATGTCATCACTGGGTTCCGTTAAGGCTGAATGCTGTCTCTGTAGTAGCATCTCATAGTGCTGCGGTTCATGCATATGTTGGGGGATAAGTAGGGCTGCATCGGCCACTTCTATATCCTGGCATATGATTAGCCTGCCATCGGATAAAATCGGTTGAGGAGGTGGTGTGGCTGTATTAAAACTTCCCGATTTCGGCGCCTCCTGTCCCGACATCCACTCGCAAACTTTCGTATGCGTGTCCACTGTGGAGCAACTGAGCGACCTTTGACCCGTTTTGATGGCTTCATAAGTGTTTGATTTCCTGGTCATCTCTAGAACAAAACTTTCATCTCCATCTCGGGACTTGCTGCACCTCTTTAGCTCTTCATCATTAGCACCATCGTAGCTGAGGATAGTTCCGCCCAATTTGGGAGCGGGGAATGGTAAAGCCTTAGCCCTCCGACGACGTTGACGCAATAAGAAGGTTAAATAAATCAGCACATTAAGAGCTATTATAATGGCTATCAGGGCGATCAGGAGTTGCATTATAGCCTCCGATTTGGCCACCGTCTCAGGAGGCGCCTGCTGCTGTTCCTCTCCGCTATCTAAAAGGATTTGTGGAGGTCACCAAGTCCTCGAATTCACTGCCACCCTGCATCTTGTGGACATGACCAAAAGTTGGTGGAGCATTGTACATATTCTCCGCAGCCGTTTCCGTGGATTCACCACTCTGAGTCGGACCAGCCAGACTGGGTTCCTGAAGAAGGAGCTTCAATGTCCTCACAGGGTCATCTGCCCCGTGGTCCCTTGGCCCGTACTTGCTCATGTGACCCGTAATCACCTCTTGACTTGGTCCATGCAGCTGCTCCTGAATGGCGGCAATCTGGTTCAGTTCGTCCGGAAGCTCTTTGTTCCAGAAATTCATGTAAATGTGACGGTACTTGTAGCCCACAGTTGGTGGAATGCCTGGAGGAAAATATTGAAAATATGGTTTATAATAATGCATTTGCATTTCGAAGAAGGATGTTTAGTAATATAAGCCAAGGAGCATGTAAAAAGCCAGGACTTTTTCTCTGCACAATGATGAGGTTTATTTATAGATTAAGCCATAATTGAAATTACATTATTTTACATTAAAAATAAAAATCAACTTACCAATATTAAGATACGCCTGAGCCCTCCTATTAAACTCCGGCCAGTCCAAGTCGTAGCGATCCCATTCGAGGGCATGTGAATTGAGGAAGATGCCCTTCCAGGGAGCCTTGGGATTACTGAAAAAACATGAAGGCAAAAGATGAGAACTTGGGCCAACGGATGTATTATCGTCTAGTTTCACATTTATGCCCCACATCTTGCCCAGAAAAGAATCTCATTTTATCGACATAATCCGGCCATTCATTTGCTCATTTAAATGACATGGTTATGGCCAATAACCACACTCCCTGCAGTCGAATGCCAAAACGTCCTGCTAACGATCTCTGATTTCAGTTTTGATTGCCACACCCATTTCCATTTTTTGCCCGGCCTTTATTTTTATCCCCGAGCGTTGGCCACTTCAACTAATAATATTTGCATGTGCCGCCACCCAAGCCGGGTGCTGTGGAATAATAATAAAAGCGGTAGTAAAAATTCTATTCATTTCGCTGTCCAAGCGTTGCAGATTGCAAAACGTGCCCCATTGGAAGGCAAAGCCAATGCCAAACCAAAGCCACTAGTCGTAGCCATTCCACAACTCATGAATATCCCACACTGCATCCGCATCCGCATCCGCATTCAACATTCGCTTTTGCATCCGCATTTGCATGCAGAACTGTGACTCTTCGTGTTGATGTTGATGGCCAACTCCCAACTCCCCTTGCCCAGTTTTTATATTCCTCAACCCAAACTCCTCTGCTAACTTTCTCCAAATGCACTTTTCACATCCGCTTTTTGGCCTGCAAGTCCAGCGGCGAGTACTCACCCGGTCTTTACGAAATTCGTCCAATATGCCATTACCGCCTCGGAAAGCAGCTTTTCCTGCACCGTGTAGTTGCCAGTGGGAAAAGGACCTGCGGGGGCCAAAGGAGCACCGAAGATAAACGCCAATTCCTCGCCCATAATGCTATGCGGTAACTGTAAGTGAAAATGTATATAGTCTATATGTATCCACGTGCCAGTAAATCAAGCCGGTAAGGGAATACTCTAAAGCGCAGACCATTAAAACAAGCTGGGGAGCTATAAATAATAAAGCATTAGCGATGGTGGTAAATGTGTTCTTAGGTTCAGAGATTCCATCAAAACGAAGGGATTTTAAGAAACTTGTCCAACAGATATCAATGTTGGATATTAAAGAGTGACTTATCTAGAGGGAAAGGCAATCTGATAAGATTAAAATCAATCATTTAAAATATTTAGGAGTGTCATCTAAAATGTAATAAATTACTGCAACAGCAACACTTGTAATATAAAACAAAAAGATTTAAAATATTTATTAGTCTGGTAGTAAAAGCTTTTGTTCTTTTATTTCAGATGTAAAGTTAAGTCCTACATTTTATTAGCATCCACCTTGCAGGGACTTTGATTTAGGGATGGAAATCACCTAATGTTGCCAACCTTCATCACAGAGTATATATAGCCCATGCAAAATGTAATGCGGCTAGAGGAACTCGGTGACTCGGAGATCGGTGTGAAATGTTTTCAGCAGTATTTTAACGGCTCTTTTTTGGCCATTGTGACCAACCGGCATCAATCTTCTTAGACGGCCTGCATAAATATTTAGCTAGTCGAAGACAGGAGGGAACCCGGGACGGGGACGTGGACAAGGACGAGGCCGCCGGAGGGAGTCGCTGAATGTAAGTAGGTAATAAAGCCAAGTTTTTATTGTTGCCATGAAAAATGTAACAAAGTCACAAAGCATTTCTGTCTGAGCACATCAAAATGGCACTGGCCCGGCGGAGATGCTGACTGTTCTTTTGCTTCTCGGACGATGTCCTTTGCGCCGCTGAAATCTTTTATGGCATTTATGAATGATGAATTTCGCTTTTGATTTTCATTTTGCAATTGTGTGAGAATTTGATGAAACGAGCAAACGGAATTCAATATTGTTCCGCCAAAACCAGGCTTAGTCTAAGCTTTTTGTTGAGCGTTCTGTGACGAATATACACGGTTCAATGGCCTTCTAACGAAATCAAAGCGAATCTTTAAGGTTTTTTTACGATTGGAATTGATCAGGCAGCGTGGCGTATGTTTATTTTGCTTTACGGTTAACAGTTTGTTGACATGCCAGAGAAATGGACAGAGGAATATTTTCATATCAATCAAATTGAGTGGTTGCATTGGCAAATATTATTCTTGTATTTTTCAGTGGCGGCAAAATGTAAATTTCCCATAAATACACATTTTACTGCAAATGTTGACACAAAACCTAAAAATTGCATTAAACACTTCCGTTTAAATTCAGCAGATTCAATATTAGCCCACGCTATGAATCCATAATTACAGCATATTCAGATATTGGCCCAAAATTATTTATGTATTTATTCGATTGGCCGAAGCGTGGGCACTTCCTGTGAAAAGTTATCTTTATTGGCCAGCGATTCTTGCTTTAAAGTTGCAAATAAAAAATTACCGGAGCGGAGGCGGAAATTCAATTTGGAATAAATGCGTAACTTTCGTAATTTATGCCCCTCCGATTGCCCACCCCAAAAAAACAACTCCTGTGCCCACGGCAACGGAAGCAACAATTTGACTTAGCGCCATTTGTCGTAATAAACCTAATGGAGTTAATGGCACTCGCAGCGTGTAAAATTTCCAAAAATATTCCCCCGAATTGGCTTAGAGCAAATCGTTTTCGGCGGAATCTAGAATCCGTAACCCGAGGCAATTGCCAGAACGGCGTGAATTTGCCGAGAGGCTGGGAATGCCAGCCGCACAATTTGCTCTCATCTTTTTATAATTTTATTGGATTACAGAAGAGTTGAGGAAGGCCAGGTCTCTTTAATTTGGTATTTTTGTGTCTCGGTAATTAAATATTTTCCCACACAGAAAATTTCCCAAAAAAATGTACGCTGTATATTAAGCGAAACGGGCACGTTTTTCAGTATTTGCCAAACACTCGAGTTTCAGCAACCTTTTTGTGCGGACTTTGCGGTCGGAAACTTTCTACCACGCACCGAAATAAAAACTTTAGTTTCAAGTCATATTTATTTTATTTTCATAAATTTCTTTTCCTTCCTCAACCATTTCGCATTCTTATCAGAAGGAGAAAGTCCTTGGAGCAAGGGGAAATGCCCAAATAGTCGACGAAAAAACTTTCCCAAGAAAAAAAAGGAACCGACCAGACGGGACATACTTCAAATGTTTTTTATTTGTGGGGTTTTTGCGGAAAATTCTTGGGATGCTGACCGCGTTTAGAATGCGATGATAATGACGTTTGTCTACGTGGGTCTCTGTATGCCTGGGCACTGGGAAAATGCTAAATTTAATATGGAAAACTTATTAAACTGTCCTCGAGCCGAAGTCGTTTTCATCTCTTTTCCCTCGATTATGCCCAAATAAATTGGAACTTGTTTTGCCAAACTTTTCGGCTCGCTGAGTTTATTGCTCAGCTTGGGAAATTAGAAAAAGGAACATAGAAAAATCTCCAAAGAAGCAATTTTCCTCAATCCCCATGCCGTTTATTTGTGTGCGCATTTTGCGTTTTGTCTTCGGGATTAAATTCAATTAGGCCATACTTTACGCACATTTCCGATTTTTGTGGAAAAATGTATTCTTGGAAAAGCGACAGCCAACCTTAAGAGCCTTTAAGCCCTTTTGTTATAAGAAGCCAAGTCATTGTCCCATGTTAAAGCTGATATTTCTTCATGAAAATAAGAAATTTGTTGGTATTTGTATGAAAAAGTTAACAAAACATAAGCAGTTAAGCTAATTTGTAAGTTTTTAAATAAATTTAGGTAATAGTGAACATTTGTGGGATCTTATGAGGATGCTAAAATATTTTCGCTTTTTTATTAAACTCTCTTGAACATTCTGGTATTTTCTCTTTGCCCAATTAAGTGGCCAATTTCCTTTTGTTCTCATTACCATTTGTAAGTAGCGGATTTCGTTGACATTTTCAGACCGAGTTTATTATGCTGTCGCTGGGATTAAATCAATTAAGCCCAACTTTAAGCACAGCCTCCATTTCGCTGGAATTATCTATGCTTGGAATAATTTTCGCTATTTTTAACAATCGCCCTGAGGCGCAACTTGGTCTCAGTGGAATGAAATTGTTGGACACTTCAAGCCAAGTACGTAAGTAGTCTCTTTGGCCCGTTTTGAGGATGAGGCCGTGGCAAACAGGCAAGACATGTGCCAAAAAGTTTCACAATAAGCCCGCGGCCCATGCCAGATAGTCAAAGAAGCTGGACCGGAAGGGGCAAAGACGGGCGGAGGATTCTGCTGAGTGGGCGTGGTCCGACTGAGTGAGTGGCTGACGCTTGAGATGGAGTGCAGAAGCGCAGTTTATGCACAAATTCATTCGCATTCAGTCGAGTTCTGTTGGCTTCGGCCCTGACAAACAGAGAATGCGGCAACAGAAAGATGTTGGCATAAATAAAAAAAGACCCAGAATGTTGTGCGATTGTGTGGGCCTTAAGTTGTCTGACTGTTTTCCTGTCTGCTCCCTCCCCAAGAAGAAAAGTAAAGAAAAGCAAAGAAAAGCGAAGCGGAGGAACATAAACAGAAAACGAGTAGGTTGCGTTGGCGACAGCCAGCGATAATTTGTAGGCACACCCGAATATCCTTGGGATACGCAGCTCATGTTTAAGGCTTCGTCCCGAAAGCAGCATGAAATATTTAAGTGAATTTTATTCCAGCAATTTATTCGTAACTAATGCGATTCCTGGCTGCTGAATCCGGTCATATATCAGGGGGCATAAACATGTTCTTTTGTGTGATTTGGCTACTTTCAGTCGATGGCAACCGTTGGCAATTTATCAGACTTATATTCATACTTTAATTGCGGGCTATTAAAAAGTTGTTGCAACCCGCCAGCCACAAGCTGTTGACGCATCCAAAAGGCCATCTCCCCGAGCTGTTCATCTTTTTTGCAGTTTCAGTTGCAGTTTGTTTTATGGCCAACTTCTCGGCAACTATGGCCATAAAAATTCGCTTAGCGCAAGGATAAAAGTTGCCAAAAATATAATACGAAATAATAACTTTCCGCTCGGCGGAGGGAGTGTCTCTTTTGTTTTGGATCCCTATTTGAGTTGTTTTCAAATTCATTATTTCTGTATGGCTTGTTTGTGGAAGTTTTCTCTCCGTCTGCTGAGCAATTTTGCCGGCGGTTTTCTCTGAGTTTTTCAGCGAAGGCTTGGATGAAACTCCATGCTATCAGTGGAAAGATGAAAGGATTTCCAGAGAAATGTTTACTTATTCCATGCGTTCAGTGCTCCCTATTTGCCTATCAGTCCAATCATCTTAATTACAAATCAATATGCCCATTTAACTGTAGAGTAACAGAGGTCCGAGGCCACGACGACTTCATAGCAACACAAAGCTATCTCTGCGAGGCAATCAGTAACAAATCCATAAGCATGACAAAGCCATAAAAACCAAGTCAAGTCGGGGAGACAAGGACCCAGATAGCCATAACCATAGCAAGTCTCCTACTCCGCCCCTGGAAAGTGACCCCTCCTCGGACACAAATGAACCCTAAGTCAAGAGAATGCCGTCTGCTTAGCCAAAAGGACACGAGCTAAACTCGTCTGGCAGTGTTTTTGTTTTGGATTTCAGCGACTTCTGTATTTTTGTCTGCACTTTAAGAAATTGAAATACATTTTTGGGTTTTAGAAAACTAAAAAATCGTCTTAAAAATATAAAAATTCTTCATTTAAAGAGAAGTCACACTTAGTCTGAGAACTTTATTGCTTAAAGAGCTCCTAAAATCTACATATTATTTCGCCAAAGAGCTCTTTTATTGAAATTCAATTTAGATAAAATCTTATAAGATGTAGTAAATTTTAATAGGATGGGTTTTATGATTGGGATATTAATGTCGTCACCAAATGCTTAATACATGGAATATATTTTGCGATCTGCTCTATTTTCGGTGTACATATTTAGTAATTTCTGTTGCTGCTGGGTTCAATGGCTTCAATACAATCATTTCCCATTGGCAGCTGCAAACTTGCGAATTGTTTTGGCGAAAAAGCCAAAAACAGGCACCGTCAGCCAGTGATGAACTGAACTCAACAGCCCAGTGCCGCAAACTTTTCAGCATTATTGTTCCATTATTGGACGGACAAAATATGGTGGGAGAAAAGAGGATGGTTGGGGGAATCGAGTACATTATGGAAACTCATTAGATGCCAACTCATGCTGGGCTTATTTCGACTGGTCGGCGAGCGTTTAATTTAAATGCGCTGTAGAGTATGTAATTGGAATCGCCATTCGGGCATTGAGGATGGCTAATACTTACGTGGGCAAACGGTCCCGTCGCGCTGTTATGGCCAAATACGTACATATAATTGCGCCGATTGACATCCGCGTGGAACATCCCCGTCTGCAGTAGTGGACCCACCACTCGAGCATCGGACAGTATGTCCAGGACCACGTCGCGATGCTCCAAATTAGTGGCCTTAATCGGATTGTTGTACATGTCCTGGTATCTGCGGAGAGAAGAGAGAGTGCGGGTAAGACCGTGAACGGAACATCAACGCAACGTGGCGTATGCGTAATGTGCATTGTTAACATTTGGTGGCTCACTGTGGTGATGCCAGTGCGTGTGTTACCCGTTTTGTGTATTTACTCTCGGTCCGTAAAGCTTAATTACGCGGTTGGCTTTTGTACCGAGCACCCCCAGCCCACCGGTGGGACACACCCAGTCAACATTGGACAACAATGGGAGACTAATGCCGAAAATCGCGAATTAACCAAGAAACTCCCGCTGATTGCAATTGATTTTTGTGCAAGATTTGCTTCCCCTATAGCGGATCAAATTATTGAGAGCCCCCGAAACCGTTTGTGTTTTTCCATTGTTTTTTTACTCGATTCTTAAAGCTGAATTGCAGTGACCCAGAAGTAGTATTTAAGTTAAGTCCTGATATAAAACCTTTTATAAACGAGTAACAAATGGAAAGCTCAGCCAAGTCCTTTTTAAGCTTCTCAGTTATATGCATTTATAAAATCCTTAAATGATACATATTTCTTTACTTCCGAGGTTACCTTTTTAAAAATGTAAAACATAAAGTGTTTCGTCATCGTTATAATGGCCCGCAATTACAAACAATTGAATTATTAAATTTTCTCTTTATTTTTCCGCTCATCATATTGCGTTAAAGAAATACACAATAATATACATATTTAACCGACAGTATCAAGTTTGAAAAGAGAAAATTCAGGAGGAAACTTTTTCGTTGGCAAAACTTCTGTTAAACTTTCAACGCTTCACAAATTCAGCACTTTTGGGAATAATGCTTTAAATGGGTCTTTAATTTGTTGTTAAGCACTTTGTTGTCATTGTTTTTCTTCACATTGGAATTTAAGTTTATATTTATTGCAGTGGTAATTATATTGTTTAAAAGTATTGATTTTATATAAGCTTGGACTTAAAGATCTCTACCACAACTAAGATATTCCAGAATATGTCTTTAATCTTATAAATTTACCATTAATCCAAAATAAAGCTGCAGACCGCAATCAAATTCTGATTTGTATTTTGCGTAACAATTTAAGGAGCACCTGACAATTAAATCCTTTTCAGGAGCACCCTATGTAAATGGCTCCCTGTGCTGCCTTTTTCTTTAATAAATTTGTTTCCCCCAGTCCCACGTTAGATAAATCGGTATGCTTCTGGTTAAGTCCATCCCAGCATGAAATTATTACGGCGCAGCGGGAAAGACACGGAGACCGGAGAAAAAATACAGAAATCCCTCTGTGCCCGCCTTGTGTTCATGTCAAGCACAACACTTGGCCTTTTGCTAGCAGCTGTTGAGGCAGGTACAACATGCCACAGGACACACATTCACTGCGGAGTGTATGTGCGCGCCGGGTTTTTCAACGTCTTGGCGTAGCCTAATGTACAAATAAATAGAGCCATATTTTCCACATTTTCGTACGGCTTGTACTTATTTTAGTTTTCTTTTGCTGCCCGTCTTGTCTGTTTGTGTTTTGTGTGCCATGTTATGCATTTTATTGTCGGCTACTTAAGTTATGCACTTTGACCTCTATTCAGACGGCACAGTCGACGTCGACCCCCCGTGAAGAAGACTCGAAGAACGAAAGTCAGAGCTCGGCGGGGAGTACGGTGCCACTCATGAATGTATGGCCCGAGGTGGCTAGCAAGACGCCTTTCGTTTGCTCTACTTGCTGCTGTTTATGCAGGATTCAAAGGACACGCCGACAGCGGAGGTCATAGAGATATGCAAAATATTTCCGACATTTGACAGCAGAGACAAAGTAGTTAAAGTTGACCATTTTGGTTTTAAATTAGGCTTTATCAAAATATATTTGAAATGTAATTGTCATCAAATGAGAATATCCTATAATGTTATTTTCTAAATATACGATTTTTCTATATATATTATTTTCTATATATATTTTCGTATACACTTTAAAATAAGAAAATCTGTAGTAGGGTACTAAATATCAATTGTTGAAACTCCAAAAGTAATACGAAAAATAATTAAATTCTATTAATTTAATCCTTTGGATGTGCATAACTCTTAATCCTACTATTCCGACCGCCACTGTATACATTGCGTCAGTTCCCATTGCCGTCGACGGAGACACATGTTTGCATTGGAATCTTATTCGGAATCAGAATCGAAGCAGCTCAGCTTCGTTTTATATTTATTTGCGGTTTCTATTATGTAATCCCACATAGTTGAGCAGACGCTTAGAGCGTTCTGCAGGCGGTCTACGATGCGTATGCGCAATAAATAAAGTGTGAGCTTCAGAAATGCTTTTTCTGCTTATTAAGTTTAAAATCGTTTGCTTAAATTTCGGATTGTACATGTGCAGAAGTTCCCGCAGCAGCTCAAAACGTTGATCTTATTATGTTCCGCAATGTGGCATTATTATAAGCCCATCGGAAAACCCGCACCCACAATCGACTTAATTAAAATGCAAGCAAGCCACGATAATTCCGTTTGAGGAGGGTGAAAGAGCTCTTTTTTTGGAGCCGTCCATTGAGGAAACCATAAAAATGTGTCATAGCAAATATAATTTGGAAATCACGCGAATTGCGTTTGCGAAAACAAACAAAAAGTCGAGCAAACAAAATTCGAATGCCAGCAGACCAGCACAAATGCTTAATTAAAAGTTGGACGAATGTGCATTGGGGAAATCCCATGAAAAGCATGGAATAACCCGAACGTGTGGTGCTGTTGGTAAGGAAATAAGATTAAAATGCGCCACCAGCAAACAATAAGTGGAACATTTCCAGACTAAAGCCAGTCGAAAGTTTCGAGAACGAGACCATAGCCACCGACAATATAATTAAATATATATAAGCACGTGTGTATTTAGACGACAATTCTACGTAAAACATACACGCACCACAAAACGACCCACAAAAGCGGCCAAACACATGAAAACACTCAAAAGTAACCGCAAACCCTCGAAACACCAATACACATGCTTTAACACACACACATAAGCGCCCCCAACAAATGGCCACCGGAAATATGCACAACAAACACTCGAAAGTATGCAGTGGAAAACACACCAAGCAAAACCAGAAACAAATAGCAGGTGAAATAAGGGGTTAACAAAGGCGATGAGCGTCATTTGCTTTGCGCCACTGCCACGCCCACCTGGGCACCAGACCTCCCCTTCTGCACACCTTGAGTGGAGACCGAGGAATGACCATTCGGGGAACTCGCACAAGTGCGATCCAATTTGGCATTACAGTATGCAATTTTTTTTTATTTTCCCAGATATTGTTTTGGGATCACCCAAGGTAATGTGCGTAGGTTTTTGTTTTAAAATTAAGATAAGGAAAGAAGACATCATTTTCGAGTTTTTTTTTGTTTTCAAAAATGCTGTTAAATATCTCATTTTGTTTTATATCTAAAAAATTTATTGCTGTTCTTAACTGCATTTTTATCAAGAAGTAGTCTTAATAAATATTTTATACACCATATAAGACTCAGTCCTGAAAAGTAAACAAACTTTACAGGCTGTTCATGAATACAACTAAAGAACAAGGCAAATTAGCACCCTCGGTTCTTGTGGTCTACCGCACGGAGCACGTTCTCCCCTAACTTGGTTGCACAGTGTAGGTTGCTGACTTCCGCTGCTCGTTTCTGGAGCGTGAACAACACTCACATTTAATTTCCGAAGAGCGTATGTGACACTTTAAATATTTCCGCACTCAAACAAACACTTCTCCGCCAGAAACACACACAGGCACAAATATACATACACACACACTTGGAAACAGAAAGGCAGATGCGGATGCGGATACGGAGACACAGATACAGATGCAGACAGCGACAGGGACTGGGACAGGGACAGGCGGAGGTGTTCGTCGTACTTTTGGCCGGAGTGTCTGGTCTCCGGGTGCACAATTTTCTAGTGCCCTAGATTTTTGGCAGCTGCAGTTCTGTAATGAATTTGTTGAGGAGTTTGCTAATGAAGTACAACGAGTCTTTCGAACAAAATGCAATTTGATTTTAAATTGCATTAAGCGGAAATTGCAGGGAATGAGAATATGCTCCTAATGGCATTCAAACGAGTGGACAAATATTCCAGCTTTCTCTTTTTGCTCTTTAAATTTAAATCCAGCTTTGGCGAGTAAAGTTGGGTTAACTTTAAGTGAACCCAGACCTCAAACATTTAACTACCGCCTCAAATCACAGTTTGCACGGTGGCCTGGGAAAAAAAGGGGAAAATCAAATCCATTTAATCACCCAGAACCCTCGTGTACCCGATATGCCCGTAAACACAACAAGCAAAGCGAAACAACTCGTGTCTCATATATACCCGTGCACATATAGACACGGATGCGGACCACTAACTGGCGTTAATGCCCGACTTCTGCGGGGAATAGTGCGGGTTCATGAACCCCACTTAACTTGGATGGGGATGTGGATGCGGGAAGGCTAAGAGGCGGGGGTTGGCCCATTAAGTGTTCAACCGCTGCCAGGCTAAACAGCAAGACACTAAGGGATGTGTATGTGCCCTCGAAACTCCTGCCACGTCCTCCAATCAGAGCCTTAATGATGGAAATAGTACGAGACGGGTAAGGATACCATTTTATATCTAGAGACAGGACATGGTAAGCATCAATAAATATTCAAAGGCAGCATAAAAGGGTATATGTACATTATGTTTATTATCATAGAAAGGGTACATGCAAATTTATATTATTGATTATGGCCGTTATGGTTTATAAACCCCTGTAAAAATATTTCAGTGAAATTTTTAAATGGATATTAAATTTTCAATTAGGCATTTAAAGGCGAATAGAAATTGGATTGAATTCGATTTTGTTGACCAAATTCAGGATTTAACATACATTTTTGTTTTCTAATTTGTCGTAGAACATTACTGCCGCAACAAGCGGTTTGTATCCTTCAAAATAGACAATAATGCTTTCAAAAATATTTAGCTTTTCGGTACACAAATTCACCACTAATGCACTGGTCGACATGGCAATTGTTGA